GAGATAAGCCTTGCTTATCGGTGTCATTGGGTCCCAGAGGCGGAGGAGAAAAGTATATGTAAGAGAGCAATGTCCAATGTCTCTAATGGCGCTTCAAGTATCCATTAATGGATGTGCCGGTGCACCAGGACGTCCTTGATCTTGGATCTTCGTTCTTATCCCTGGGTTCCTTGGAGAGCGTCCAGTTTGGGGGTTGGCCGTTTTTGTTGGAGACGGAGAAATAATTAAATTTTATGGGGATTGGGTGGCGAGAACGATGGATGGATGGGGTGAGCAGATGAGGAGGAGGACAGAAGAGGAGAGGGAGGGAGGGAGAGAGTAGGAAGAGGGAAAAGAAGAGAGAGAGGGAAAAGAGAGAGTAAGAGAGAAGGAGAAGGAAAAGAAAAAGCCAAGGTGGTTGAGGTAAAGAGCACACCTACTCCAGTCCAGTACTCCGTAAGGTAAAGAAAGGTCAGGTATGGATGGATGGATGGATGGATGCGCAAGGGGAAAGAGAGAAAAACCACAGTAAGAAGAAGGAGGAACCTGACAAGATGGGATTCGCAAGCTCCTTCTCCTTCTCTCTTTCTCCTCCCACCTTTACGAATACTCATTCTATTACCGGCCCAACCACGTAAAAAATGAATAACAGAATGTAGGTGAGAGAGATATGGTACCCAAACACTGACACGCCCAGGGGACTTCAAATGCCGGGTGAAGGTTTTTTTCCTTTTTTTTTTCTTCTTGCTGTTCTTTTTTTACACTGCCGCTGCCCCTCGTACAGTGGTTCACTTTTTTCGATCAATCTTTGATCGACAGTGTTGCGGTTCCTCTAAACCCGCAAGGACAGACAGAGAGAGACATACTAAAACAGAACGCCGCTTGACACAGGATCTGCCGTGAGAGAGGAGCACAGTCAGGATTGGATGGGGCTCCAACCAGGAAGGGTCAAAGTTCCTGACCGCCGGCGGCCTACTGCAAAGATGTCAGGCAGGCCCGGCCAAAGTCTCTTGCTCTACCCCTTCACTATGAATGGCACGTCTCGCGTCGGTGGAGGAAGAAGCAGGAGGGTGTATTGGAAGAGGAGGCGCGGCAGTATCTGACTGGCCGGCGGGCGTTGGTCTCAATGGTCCGACTGACGGACCAAGCGGCCGAAAAAGACATCGAGAAAGAATGGTCCAAACCTTGGTTTGATGGAGTATGGGGATCAAGATGGAGACAAGAGCATGGGCAAGGACATGTCGACTGAGATGGGACGGGACGGGATGGCATGGGATGGAATGGGACGGACACCCTCCTGGCGTCCCTTTTGCCTCTAACTCTCTTACCGCACCGCAGTGCAGTCTTCTTCTGCAGCCTGGTGCCTGCCTTGCCCTCACCGACACGAAAGATGTGCAAAGCGGCAGCTGCAAATGCAATACCTGAGGAGACAGGCATAGGCATGGCTTGGCATCAAGAAAAAAAGTCTCAATGAGACGAGCAGGAGAGAGAGCGAGAGACTTTGTCCGTGTCAGTGAAAAATGACATGGGGAACTCCCGGCTAACGAACCAAAGTCAAGAAACAGGGCAAATGGGAAAAAAACATAAAGAGAACAGGGTAGGTAGGCCCGGGGCTGTGCTTTTCTAACATCCACGCCCAAGATACGCGGGGGGTGTAAGTGTCGGATCGGTTGTTGAACAAAGCCAAGCCAGAGACCACCCAATTACGGAGGAATGAATTACCTTGCGGCTCGCCAGGAATCGAACGACGAGGCGCGCGTCGATGCGGCGGTAGATAGTAAGGTAGACAAGAGGGCGCAAAAGGTAAGAAAGTGTGGTAAGAGAAATAGACGTCGGGTGAACAATAAGAAAGTGACCAAGTGATCTATCGCTCAAAGACGAGACCAGGGTACGGTGAAGCACTTGGAGACGTCAAGGCATGTTAGCCGAGCAGGTCTAGCCTCTACGCAGTAGGTCTAGGTGACATATTGAACGTTTGATAGCGATTACGTCGTACCAGGAGCATCAGCACTCCGTAGAGGCCACCGGGGATTTGAATGGTAGCAGGGAAGTGTGCTTGAAGGCGCGAGGCTAAAAAGGCCGCCAGGGCCGTTTTCGTTGCATTCCGCGTGAAAAGAAGAAAGGTGGACAATGGAGAATAGGTATGGAGGACTCTCCGACTCACAAACTTTGGTCATGGTGACTTTGGTGATGGTCACAGCCTGGTGGCCGGATGGGAACTTTGAAGGGTAAATCTCCACAAAAGCACATGGCAAAGCGTGCGACTTGTCGACCCTTCGGCCCTGTCTGGCACGATGACTGGGTCGTCGATGCTGGGAATGGCATGGGGGAAGGGAAGTGATGGTGTCGATGGAGGGACGGAAAGATAAAGCACGAGACATTTGGGAGGGGAGATGGGCGCCGCCTTATCTCTGTCCATTCCGGGGCAGGCGTTCTAGAAAGATGCTACGAGACAGAAATACATAATGGCAAATGGGCAAATCACGGCTCATATATTTCATCTTGTCTTTTGGGGCCCTTGGGGTTTCCTCAAGCTTCAGCTCCATACTTGTAGTGTAACTCCGTCACTCCGTCACTCCGTACCCGTGCCTACATTGCAAGGTGGGAGGGTACATGCTTCCCAAGACTCCGTAAGGTACCTAAAGTATGGAAGGTAAGGAACTCCAAGGACTCCAAGGTGGTGGTTGCTGCACGATCCGAGTCGGCGGTACTCGGGCGGAACATGGGGCCCCACCATTGACTACTGCCATTCTGCAGCTCACTCGCCGCTTCTTGCCTCGACCGGCGCTTGTAGCGCAGACGTACATTCCTTCCTGCGTAGACCTGGAGACTGGAGTGAAGTGCCCTAGGCGTGGTGCCCCACCCCTTTAGCGAAGTGGCTCCCATTACCTTATAGAAAGTCCGGTACCGCCCGTTTCGGGTCTAGCGCGGCAATACCCATAACGTAATTCTCGATTATTGCCGAGTCAGAACTCGACGACCAAGGTCTCTTTGGCCCATCGTCCCAACTTCAACCTCCTCTTCAACCGGCATCTCGCGCGCGCGCAAGCAACGCCCATTCACCACCTAGCTATGCGGCACCGCAGTACCGTACTTCCTACACCTGCACGGCGCTGACCGCAGCCAAATGTCGAGTCGCAAGCAGCCCGGCTGCACGCAACTGCACAACCAGCAACACCTCAGGAGACCCGCTGCTCTATCTGGAAGAGGGATTAACCTGCGACGCAACATCTACCAGGGGACCACCATCAACAGCATCATCCCTCATCCTAGAATCCGGAAGCTGCTAAGATATGCAGCCCATTTTCAAGTTTGAGCGGGCAAAGAAGCGGATTCACCTCCTCCCGCTTTGCTCTCCCACTCACCACCAGGTCATTATTAGCCTGCCGTTGTTCGGAACCATCAAGTCAAGCCACCACGCCAGCCATCAAGCGGACCAGCCCATGCCATGACACGGATCCAAATCATTACCTACAACTCAACCCACGGCCAAGGGATCGATCGTCCAACGATGACACAAATCACGGGCTGTCGTGTGCCGCCCCGAATCACCGCCGTTCCGCCGTTGCGCTTCAGGGTCCTTTCAACCCATCCCGCCCCTGTCATGTCACGCTTTCCCCGTTGGGACTCTTTGTCACTGTCTCCATCGATTCCAATCTCCATGCCGCCGGTCTAGACGACGTCTCCTCCCTCCGGCATGCTAGGTAGGAGGAGTCGATGCGAAAGACCATCCGCGCCTGTTCCGGTCACGCCCGATGAGCAAGGGACCTTGCCAGTCCCTGAACCTGAAGTGCGCCTTCTACTGTTATGTCACGGCCCCAATTCCCAAACCGGCATCGAAGAACTTGGATACTCTAACCAAAGGCCTCACAACTCACCACTTTTCAAATAAGCCAAAGTCCAGATCTGGTGGACCGTGGACCAGCCTCAGTTCCTGGTAACGCGGGGTTGCGGGGCAATTGGCCTCCTGCGAATCATCGTCCCTGTTTCGCTGCTCATCATACCAACCATGCCAATCTCAAATGGACGTCGATTTATCCCACCCTCGGCACGAAAGAAACCGCCATTTGAGGAATCAGGGCCAGAGAAAAACCCACACACCACCACGACCGAATATCATCTTGGCCCAACCCATAGCATGTGTTCTACGGTCATCTTACCGCCGCCAGCAGTCGGCCAAACTGACACCTCCAAACAACTCGCTACTTGAGAGGACACCTTTAACCGCCATCCCCTGCCCGTCAAACGTCGAAATGCCACGTCGGCTCACCTGCCGAAAAAGGCCCCCAAAGGCTCTCGTGCACTACCATCTTCTGACGTTCTTCGACAAATGACCTTGAAACTCAACAACTTAATTGACTCTTCTTCCCGCCTTCTCCTGCGGGAGACCCCCACGAATCCCTGCATGTCACGCCTTCCGACCGCCTCGCCTCAACAATCAGCAAGCCATAAACCTTCCCGAGAGACACATCCCTCGTGGGTGGGGGGGGTAACTTCATGTGTTGTGCGACATCGTGAACGCACACAGGTACCACTCACACAGCTCTAATCTAACAGGGGTTCATATAATCACCCAGCTACTATTTACGTCATTGAGTTCCTAATCCCGCTAGTTTCACGATGCCAGCCCGGCGGCTCTATCGCTAGCGTTCCCGGTGGCCGTCGGCTCCGACCAGGTATAAATTGAATGGACAACTGCCTATTCGACCCAAGTGGCGAATCTTGCCCGGTGAAGATATACCCGAAGTCTGTATTTCGGTCCGAGAACATGATGGAACAGTGACACACCTCCATGTCCGCAACGGCTCGATTGCATGTGAAACGGCGTTAATGATATATCTGTACCTTATTCTCGTGGTTTCTCCGCGATGCTCACGACCTGCTGCATTTATAGACTCCACATTCTTCACGTGCTATGAGCCGAAAAGTCCTATTACCCCGCGGAGACGAAAACGCAAAGTTGCGGTAGTTCTGTCACTAGAAGTCTACAGGTTTCCATACAAAGTCTTTTCGAAACAAGAATGCTGCATCGACCGATTGAAAGAGGATGTCACGCCTGGGTGTTTGCAAGCGCCAGACGAGGCAACGGCGGCAAACTGAACGAGTTTCACCGCTCTCCCAAAAAGCACCAAAGCCGAATCAAACCGGTCAACCGCAACATTCGAGACAGTATGCGTCTAGTTCAACTTGGGAATTCGATTGGTCATTGATTCCTGTGATGCGACGAAGGCAGACTGGGCATAGTTGACCGACTCTGCTCTGCCTCGAATGGTCTAGAGCTGTATCGCCGGGCTACTGCAGAGGAGAGTGTGGCTCTGGGTGTTGATTGACGGTTTCCCGCCCTCCGCCCTCCACTTTCCGACATCATACTGTGATGGCATACTTGCTGATCATTATAGGTCAGAAGGTCGCGGCCCGACGATCTCGAACCGATGGGAATAGTCTTGGGTACGGATGTTGGACCGTCTTTCCTACAACTCAGTATGTCGGTTCGACATTTTACGTTTCTCATGGATTTATCCGTTCTTTGCACCGAATGCACTCGCCAGATCATCGCGGTTTAGACACACAAGGCCAGTCGTACTTACTGGTCTTGCACGAGTCTTGCGTATTCTCAAGTATTATGAGGGTCTCCTCGTAGATTTTCGCTCCTTCCGCCGACGGAGCTCCGCCTGGGAGACTCATGTGAAACCCTCCCATCGTTACAAACCCCAACTTTCCATAGAACGGCACAGCGTCCGTCGTGCTTTCAAGGAATACCGGGAGCCCCTCAGCTCTGGCGGCCTCCGTAGCGGCATGTATCAGAGCTTTCCCCGCGCCGCGGCCTCGGAAGCGGTAGCCAGTGCACAAGAACGTCAAATAAAGAGCCGGGCATCTCCGCCGGGCCCGGGTCCGCCGCCGTCGGTGGTGTCCGGTGCCGGCGGAGAGAGAACGCCCATGAGATGTCAGCAACTAGAAGATTTGGGGCTTTGAACGTTCAACGCCAACGTCGTTGGCAAAGTGGACACGGGTAACAGGTGTAACGTGGGAACCGCGATGGGAATCAAAGGGAGAACTGTGGTTCCCGCTGCGGTGCTGTCCCCGCCGTTCCGTGGAGAGATGTCACCGAAATGACATTCTGGAATTCGACAAAAGGCGATGCCGAGGGAGGAGGAAACCCGCCGAGAACTGTCTGGGATCAGAGTTTCTTGGGGGGGCACCCCCGGGGAGGAGAGAGACTCCGAGTCTTTGAGGGTCTTCGCTGTCTGATGCGTTTCCCCACCGGGCCAAACCCCCCACCGGGCAAACACCGACCTCGGAGCCGACTCAGACAGCGCCAGCCAGGAAGTGTGAGGTTTGCGGATAAGGGAAATACGGCACCGGCGCAGCTGACATAGTCGGCGGAAAGCCGGGGACAGGCAACTGGGATGGGGGAAACTGCCGATACAGGTAGGTGGATGAGGAATTGACCACACCCCCCTCGCGCGACATTTCCCGAAAATTTCACGTAATGGGAAATACCGGGATGGTGGAGTGGTTGAAGAAGATGTTGGGCTAAGAACGGCGGTTGAATCATGAATGGAGCGGCAGAAGGGAATGGGGGGGGGGGGGGGGGGAACAAAAAATAACAACAACCAAATTGTCAGAGAAAAAGAAAGGACCGAAAGGCAAGAGTGGACGAGTAATAATAAACAAGATATTTGAAAGGTGTAGGGCACTCAAGGAGAAAGGGCCGGGAGCCCATGGCTTCCCGACGTGCTTTTGATGCGGCGGTCGCGTAGGCGGTGAGGTATTCTCGGTTCGCTGAAGCGGGCCACTCTTCGTCTTCGCTTTCGTCGTCGTCGTCGCTGTTCTTGTGGTTGGAGTCCTCCGCTGTTGCCCCTACTATGGTTCCTTCTCCGACCTCCGCTTTCGATTGTTGATGGTGTTGTTGGTTCCGAGGAGGTTGTTCTTTACTCCCGTCATCCACCACGCCCGCCTCCGCCGTTGTTGGCAGTATATTGCCCGGCTCTAAGCGTCGCGAGCCGCTGGCGGATGCGGTGGGGGTTTCAATGACACGGCTTCGACTTCCACCTTGACCTCGGCGTCGGACGATGTCCCGTTTCACGAAGGCGATGACACGTTCGCCGTTCCCGGTGCCGGTAGCATCATCGTCCTCGGCGTCGGCGTCGGCGTCGGCATCCGCCTCATCCACTACGTCGGGGTCGGAGCTGACGCGCGCCAGGAGGATCCGCGGCGTGTCGTGGTCACGGAGGTAATGCAGGGCGTCTTTCACGAGGTGGTCGTGAAGGTCGGCGAGGGAGGCGGACGTGGGGAATTGCAGCGGGAGTAAGGTGTTGGAGGACGTTGGTGAGATGTGGATGGAGGCGATTTGAGGGGTTTCGGAAGGTGTTGGGGGGCGGATCGTGAGGGTTGTCATCGTTGATGAGTTTGAGTTTGTGGGTTTATGAGTCTTGGCTGGTGTGGTGTGAGTTGTGTGAGGCGTTGGTGAGTTGGTGTAAGTCGAGTATAAGCCGAGAGTGAGGTGGGTGAAGGTTGAGCAGTATGGTAGGTGTGTGAGATTTGGGAGTGAGTGGTGATCATGGTTGGTTTGCGGTCATGTGATTTGTTTGTGCCCGTGTGCTATGGAGGTTGCTACGAGTGCTACACGCAAGGTAGGATTCCTTGAGATATATAGCTTCATTGTGCTTGGAGATATATTGCAAGAACGAGTTGGGACTGTATGAAGAAGGAGGCGAGGCTGAATCTGTGAAAGGCTTGGAAGGAGGGTATGCTATCGACTTGTGTTGTCTGGCTTCAGTTGTCTGACTTACTGGCTCTCCTGTCTTGAGTGCTTGCCTTTCCACCTCATCTTGCTCTCTGATATGCTGTGCCTTTTACCCCTCAAATGCCCTCTTCAAAGTATGTGAGTTTATGCTAGGGGAAATGAGTGTTAAGAAGTATGAGGACTCACTTGATGTGTTTTCATTACTTGAAGTTTACTATATGCTCCCTCGCCCTGAGCCTCGTTGGCTGATATCGACAGTGGCGATGAACGGAGACAGTATCTTGCGAGTGTTGCTTCTTGTGCTCAACATCAGGCCAAGCGAAAATTTCCAGAATCGAAAAGAAGTCCTGGATAAGTTTGTATGAAGTCCTGGCATTATGTCTAGAGATATTCGTAAGAGGTGGGCTTTTCTACGTATTCAGGTGCCCGGGATGAAGTGAACCATGCATAACGTTCCGGCAAGATTTGGATCAGGTTTATGAGAAAAAGGGGGCAGAATCTTTTGAAGACGCGTGAACGGGTGCCTCGAGTCAGCTAGGGACGGCGAGGCATTCGATGCAAACGGTGGCCAAAGCGACGTTCGACGCCATAGGGGCATACATCCAAAGATGTAATAGTCCTTTACTCGAATGAAGACCAGCGTCACCTGCTTGCGACGAGAATAGCTGGCTTCCAGCAAGCTTCTGGGAACCGTGTATGGGAGGCTTGCCACTGTTGTCAATCCGGAAATCCTAAAGCGCCTCTTGGATGTTAAATGATCTTAGTTGTCAACACTCCAGCTACCTGAGCAAGTCGTTTGACAATCGACCCACTGATGAAATATCCTTTCGCGAGAAACCATGTGTAGATTCGAAGCTGCCATATTTTCCTCAGTTCCCAAGCGTCGTCCATCTCTGGACGTGAAGATTAAAACTAATTATTGGGTTTACTCCTAAGCCGGCTGGCATCCATATGAACCGACCAAAACTAGCTTCGTAGTCTGGCGGCCTCAAGACCATCGTGAACCCGGCGCTATGTCTCCAAGGAATCCTATCATGTCCTTCAGCATATCCTTGGAATAGCAATGGTCTAGCCCATCGTAGGTCTTGAAGTCGACCTCACAGCCCATCGCTCGCAAAACCCTCGCCGCCTCCTGACCGTAGCGTACTGGGACATTATCATCCACGGTCCCATGCCCGAGAAACACAGGTGTCTTCAGGAATGATGAATGCGTCACCAGCTCCGCTACCGTGATGCCAATCTCGTCCCCCAGAATACGCAATGCTCGTTCCACCGAATCGTGTTCAGACCGATTACCCTCCCAGCTAGTAGTCGAACCGCCATCAGAGTGCTCAAAGGGATCGTCATCAGAGCCTTCCGGCGCCTCATCGTACCGTCCACCCATTCGATAATCTCCTTCCGCCATGGCCTCGGCCATCACGTCGGCCATGGGCAACATCCCACACATACCCAGTATACCGCCGAGTGGCGTCCCCCGCCACAACAACAGGCAAACAAGCGCCGCAGCACAGCCTTGACTGAAGCCGCCGAGCACTAACTTATCCGTCCCGCCCAGCCGAATGGCTTCATCTTCCAATAGAGAATGTATGAATAGAACTGTTTCCTTTGCGTGGCCCAGTAGTGTGTCCTCCCAGTCGCCGCTCCCGTCGTACCATTGGTTGATAATGGCCCGTCTGTAAATGGTTGCCCGCGACCGCGGCGCAGTCGGGAAAACGAAGCGCGTATGCGGTAGAAGGTCTCGAAAAGTACAAGCATTCAAGCCCGGTGATGTGGTTGAATTATCAAGTGGGACAGACAGAAGTTCCGGCGCAAATATTTTCGCACTGGAACCTCGGCCGTGTAGGAGGATGATGGTCTGCTGGTGCGGCTGCTTCAGCGGCGGTATGATCATGGGCGGAGGGAAGGTATGTAATGGCAATCGCGGCTCAGATCTGATGCCCAGAGTTTTCTCTGAGTCTACAGCCTCGGCCATTGGTTATGTGTTGACAGGTCAAGTTGTCTTGGGGCTGGGAGGTGAGGGAGGGGGGAAGAACGGGCGGGTTGAGATGACGTTCGGCGATGAGGCCGGAAGGTATCCACCATGGCCGGAGTGCTTCCCGCGGCCGGCCGACGGGTGCGGCTTTGAGACGACGGAATCTGCCCAGTGATTGTACTCGATGGTGTAGCAACCGCGCATTATCATTGCAAATGTTATTTTGTCCTTTCATCTGACGTAGACACACTTTCATTCTTGACGAAGCAGATGTGAAGGTTACGCCGGGACATTGGTTCCAAATGCATCGCCAACGTTTACAAAAACCAATCTTTAGGTCCGGGCATATCGACAGATATACCATAGCCTGGTGATGGGATTTGAGGCATATGCTAGTCTCTATCGTATCTCTATGCAATCGCGTCACGGTATACTCCCAACCACATTGATATTGGCCTTTTGAAGGTATCAAGAAGAACAACAACCAAGGCATGGAGGTATGCCTGACATGAGTACGGCTTGTGGTCGAAAGCCACGCTATTGGGGCAACCTAATCTAAGTCGTCATCCTTATTCCACCAAACAGGAACATATCTAGGTCGAGAAACAGTATCCCAGAGAAATGCTATCTCGATGGACCCGCGGCGTTGCTAGACAAACGCCGAGCATCCTTATGAACTTGCAACTTATCGTGAGGCATCTTCGTTCTCGGAATTCTCAAGCAAGTAAGTTCTATCGGAGTTCATAGCTCCTCCTCAATGGGATTCGAGACCATCCCTCAGTTGCCGAGGGAGAGAGGGCACTCCACGGCACGTTTACCGACAATTCAGCTGGACGCAACAGCCTTGGGAGTGTCTTACACGGGCAAGCTGGCGCAACGGGCCTCATGATTGCGAAAAGCACAGCGCTGATGCTATTGGAAACGATGTTGTCTGAGGCAGAACTGATCTGTATACTTGTCAAAATGTAGGACATGGGTTCGGGCCCAGAGGGGATCTCGCCGGCGTAACCCATAACCTCAACAATGAAAATTGAAAACCACCATATCACGGCAATATCATCCGAAAGAATAGGGCGTAGCCTGAGCCGAGACCCCACCTTTCTGTGTTCACCAAAAAGACTTTGATCTCGATCACCTGCGATCCTGAGCGACCCTCGGTGTCGTGATTCAATGATTCAAAGGCGATGCAGACTGCACTGTGGTTTCCGCATACTAAGTTCGATGCTTAGTGGATTCCGGACCCCAGCGCTTAGAAGTATACAGCAATCCAATTATATGTATCTTGTGTGCTCGCAACTGTGCCGTCGTCCATGAACGGCCTCAAATCCTGGATGCTCCGTGTATAGGTGAGACGTATAGGCAGCCGCCGCTCAGCCAATAAAGGAGTGTCATAAATGAACCGAGTGTCAGCCAGTGAGACAAGGCATACAGATATTGCTCCATGCACCGTCAGATCTATATCACGATAGCTAGCAACAGTCAGAACCTATAATGACAGGCACATCTTTAGCTCTTCCTCCTAGAAGCGGCACGGGAATCCTGTACGGTTTTGAGGGGTCAGAGTAAGCAAAGGAACGGCCATTCAATCCTCGCATACAGATGACTGCATTGTTCTAAATCTACGTTCTGACTGACGATTCTTTTTGGTTGTTCGTTCGTGGGATTGCAATGAAGGATCGTAAGCCCAAGTATCCGTAAGCACCTACAACTTTGGCTGGAATGAGTTATCTGCAGGAAAGCAACATCTGGCCGGACAACTGTGTGCAAGACCATTGGCTACCCATCCAAATTGAGCGGCACACGACCCATGGTCCAGGGGTTCAGAGAGGGGAACGGTCGGAGACGCCGTGACTTCAAGAGAAGTCGGGTCCGATGGAAACCTTGACCGCCGTTCTTTCTCCAGTCAAACCCTGGTTGGAGCGCGTAACGAGAATCAAAGTTCAAGAGTCATAAGGCTGAGCGAAAGGCCCAAGAATGCAGCTAGACGTCAGTGGACTTTTCAGTATGCGAACCTGGGGGGGCAATTGACAGCGTCGTTCCCGCAGATAGACAACTTTTACGAGGTTTCGCTCGAGATTAGCGAAGGGGTGGCAGAAGCTCCATACCAGCATGGTACGCTTGATGAAGCACTTTTCCCTCTTCGGAGACGGGCGGGCAGCGGCGACAACTGTTACTGGGGGCGTGACTGTGGACGGGATGGGGCGGCGGGCTCGGGTTCTTCGTGGAGTTAAATTTAGAGATGCTACTGGCGCTAGTGGCGCGCTTTTAACTCGTTTCTTCAGGGGGCCGCCTGGGTGTTTCTTTGGGAATGTTGGCCCGTTGTGCCAGCCTGCCAGCCTTTGTTCCGGGATAATGGGTGCGATGGTTTAGGTCTGGAGGGGAGTTTATTTTGGTTACTTTTCGATGTCGGTAGTGGTACGGATAGAAGTTGGTTCTCGAGGCTTGTAGAGTTGGATCTTGCAGGATCGGCTTGAATATGTCATCGGATAAGGTACATGCGTGGCGAGGGGCTACTGGTCGTACAGAAACGAGTTTGCAGTCGGAACCCGATCACTAACCTTCAACCCATCTGTCTCCGTCTGCTGTGATACCCATCAATATATCTGACAGCATGGTCTGCAAGCCTTTGCTGCAAGCCCTGCGCCGCCTCCATGCACAATATGGAGAGGTATCAAACTGCACATAGCTCACCATGTCGATAAGCGCACTTTCAAAGGCAAGCCCTAGATAGCCTCCACGGAGACCAGCATCACGAAAGTCTGGTAAGATAGTGGCCCAGTCGATACGATGGAGAACGTAAAACAACGTGGGCCCAGTGACGTTTAGGACTCGAGATCAGCCTTCCTCGCTGCTCTCTGAGCAAGGGGAAGCCCGATCTCCTTTCGATTCCATTAGCAGGCTGAAAAGGATTTACATCGATGATCGCATGTTGTTGTTATGTGGGTTCGGAGCAACAGAGTGGCCTACCGAAAGGGCTGAGATGCGGTTCAATGCCAGGTTGACTAGCAGAGACCACAGCCTATTGTCGATGTTGGCTCGCACAGCCACCGCCTGACAGCCTGGGAGGGCGGTTTGAGGCAACCCGGCCAACCGGATACGAGTGCCCACTGCCCTCGAAAGTAGGCCGCTGCACAGCGCGTAGAACGTGGAAGAGTCCAGGATACTCCGAGCCGCCGTTCCGTCGTCGGCTGCATACTGCCAGAACAAGCCGATCAGAGAACTCGAGGCTATGGAACGTTGCGGCGGCTGTAGCACGGAGCGGCCGTATCTTGCTTCTGTTTCTCTGCGGCAGCGCGCTTGCCTCGACTCATTGTCGCTTCCCTTCGGCCCAGTACCGAGGTGAAAGTTGAACAGTAAAGCCTTTTGCGTGACCAGGGTCGCCCTCTTCACCCTTCTTTCGTGTTGTGAAATGGCGCGTGATGAGCGGTAGCCCCGTGTTGGCCTTGGCCCCTGGCCGTACAGCGGAGAATTATGAAGATCTCTGGAGTATTTTCGGGGCATCGGCACGCAGTCTGAACTTCTGAAGTGGCGAAGAGAAATTTGAATTTGCCCTGACGTCCGAGTAAGAGTACTCGCGCCGATGGTGGAGAGACAAGGGAGGAGCTATTAGTCGGCAAATGACAAGACACTAAGAGCACCCGTATCGAACGGTTAGGTATTAGAAATGACGGTGGGAAAGGGGGCGGGCTGCACTGTGACTGGGCAAAGAAAGTCCTGTTCCCCGGGCCGCCCTTTGTTTCGAACTGTCGGGCTGAACTTCTGAACTCAGTTCGGAGCTTCGCAAACCACAAGAAGAAGAAATCAAGGGATTCCTGGAAGGACAACTCCTGTTTCAACCTCTGGACAGCAGGTTCCGGTTCGCGATAGGTCAGAATTGGCGATGTGGCTTGGTTCTTGGAGCGCTAGGATTATGGACTCTGTAAAATAAACGGGGCGCTGCAACATTTTGCTACTGGAGTTTGGAGATCGAGTGGTCGTGGTTGGCCGACGGTGGCCGCGGGGCTCGGTATATCTCAGGAGGTGGGATGAGGACTTTGTGACTCTCGAAGATTGATCATTGGTAGCCCCGAAATGAGCACGAAGGACAATCCAAGAATCCGGAGACGCGCTGGACCAAACAGATGGTTGCGAGTCTCGAAGCCGCCGAGAAAGCACATCTACTGCTGCATTGCCGGGCGCAGCTCTGCTTACTCCTACATTATGCGCGCGCACATGGCCTCAGAGCGAGTGTAGATGCAGGAATTTAGTGTGGCATACAGAGTCCGCGGGTTCTTCGCGAGCAAGGGATGCGAGCAGGAGATACCTAGACCCATAGAGTGCCAAGGTCTGACAATACTGTGTATGCTGCGGTGCTAAGTTAAGGTGCGCTAGGTTTTGGAGGAGGGGGATCTCCCACTGGACGAGCGAGAGTTTAGCCTCGCAGCGGGAAGCTCACGGCCAAACACGGCGCCATCGTCGGGCAACGGGGCCCCGAGATTATTCTTGTCTTGCTGTGGTAATGTTGTTGACCAGGGCAAGTTGGGTTGCTGAGTCGAGTTGAGCGCGGGGGTTCGATGGAAGTTGGAGACCGCCTGCCCGTCACTGAGAGAGTCAAAATTCAGAGAGAAGTCGACACGGACCGGCTCACGGATGTGCCGCAGGGATCACCGCTGCTTCACCTGCTGAGCTGTTGCAGGCACCGGCCATCAGGTGGACGTACGATGGCGGTAGGCTGCAGTGACTGTCCATTTGTGCCCCGGTGTCTGGGTCTTGGAGCCCCCTGCAGTGAACACAGACTGCAGTGCCCCTTATTTTGTCAGGCGAAGGAAGCATGAAATTGGTTGCGCTCTCGGCTTGGTACTCGATAAGACACGTCGATCAACGAGGTGAACCTGTTCGGCTTCCCTGGAAAAGCGAGGAAGCAACCCTTCTCGGTCTTGGTTCAACAACATCTTGTCGAACAACAGCGGCATAACTTCTTGTCTGCTAGCGGATCCGGCGCCATGTGCCCTCTCGGAATGCTGGCACGAGGGAACAAAGAAGGCGGGCGGCTGAGTGACAGCAGGAAGCTAAGGCAGGTTGGCTGACCCATCGCTAGACGTTGCCTCCAAGTCATCCCGAGGAATGATTCGCCTCGTGGTAGCAGCTCTTTGGAATGCACTGGAAACGGCCCGGTCGAGTCGAAGAAGCCGCCAGCAAACACGATGTGCAACGCAACGTCACTCATGGACGTGGTAGTGGTAGGCGAGGTGCTGAGCGTTGACTCTTGAGGCGAGTATGATGGAATCTGATCTGTCTGGCGGAATTCCGCGCGCTTCATCACGAAGCGTAGCGAGGTGTTTCTTCGTGTTCCATGTCAATCATTGCTGATCATCCGACGTCCCAAGTGGCCGTTGCCAGGAAATTATGCTTGATTGACCGTGGGCCATGGTCCGCAATGATGTATCCGTATGATGGACCGTATCCGTAGTGCCGTACGAGAGATATCCCTCGATGTCTCCATACAGTATACGTACATTTTGTACGTACTTCTTAGTCAGATTTGAGATGCGGTACGTACCCAGATACATGCATGGTCCGTCGCTTCCATTGACCTGGGAGTGGCAGAGTGCCGTCCCAACTTCTCAAGTGGTGTGTGTGTCTCCTGTAGCCTGCTCATCCCTCAGGAATGGATGGCAGCTGCTCTTCGAATCCTTGGACGCATCTCTTTCCTCTCTTTCTACACTAAGATACCGCGCTCCTCCGACTTCCGTCAACTCTACCATGAGCAGACTTCCGCTGGTTGGTGATGCCTTCCACCCGGAATAGACTCTAGGAGTCAATCTCTCCCAGTCCCTCCTCCTCTGCCTTACGGAAAGGAGACCCCGGACGAAAAAAGAAAGCAGCGCCACCCCTCCCGCTGCCTTTCTTCTTTGGGCAAAGTCATTGATTCCTTCTTCTTTCATTGGGCCATCTATGCAAGTGCAAATTAACCCTTTGCTCGTGGGAGGGACTTTGGGAACAAGCAACAGCAGCTCACCGGCCTCCCCAGTACCAGTCCACCTTGACTTCTCACTTCCTGGATCTTCAGTCTTCAAACACTCGCTATTCTTCTCTCTGGTCATGTCGCCACTCACAAGTTGCAAGTCTCCATATGGTGCCTTCACCAGTTGACAGTTGTGCGTGTACACACACACACACACACACACACACATCAACACACTCAAATGAGTTGTCCTTTGACAACAACAGCGAACGGTCCCATAACCCCCAGTCACTCTGACCTTTCCTCCAAGAGCTAAGAGACCAGGGGTGTCGATGGTTCAGGCTCAAGAGTCAAGGCTTGGCCGATGACCACCCCCTCACCCCCTTCCCAGGACACTAGGCAAGTGCAGGGTCCTGAATAAGGTACGAGGTCGTATTGATTCGCCCAGCTCGTGGAGCGTGGGCCATGGCCCATGGAGACACATCCCACCCCCGTCCCGTCCAGCCCAGGGACCAAGTCACCAAGACAAGAGAGAACGAGCCATGGCGCGCCTTTGCCCTGGTCTGTCTATGGTCACCGGTGCTTACCTAGTGCTTGGGTACCACAGATACTTGGCCTTGGTACCTGTTGTTGGTGCGGTTGCTCATGTTCTGCCTAGTTGGCCCTGCTGGGCACTGCTGTGCCTCATCTCGTCGAGTCCAAGTAATAAAACCATCCTCCCCGTTCGTGTGTTTCTACCCTTTTACCTCGTTCCTCACCTCTTCTTATTTTGCTTCCCCACGAGCTTCTACCTCTTGCCTTTTCTTAGCTTACCTGCCAGTCCCTCGTTAATCGGCATAGCTTTTCATTATTTCCACACTCTCACTCCTCCTCAAGCCACTTTCCAGCTTCCAGCTCCTTTAATACTTGTCAGCGGCCTCTGATAAATATCCCGTCACCTTCGAACCTTTTCTCATCAAACTCGCTACTCGCTTCTTCCTTCGATCGACGTATACGAATCACCGGCAAAATGTTCTCCAAGATCTTCTCCGCTGCCACCGTGGCTCTCGCCGCTTCCACCATGGTCTCTGCCCAGACCTTCACCACCTGCGATCCTACCAAGAAGGGTATGTTTTTTTTCCGTCCTCGGTTTTCGTACCGCCGTTTGGTCTTCCAGTGAAACAGCCTTGCTGACTGATCTTTAGATTGCCCTGCCGACCCTGCTCTGGGCAAGTCGGTCAGTATCGACTTCACCAAGGGCAACGATGACTCCGTCTTCCGCAAGCTCGACGGCACTGCCGTGAAGTTCGAGGATGGCGGTGCTCTGTTCGCCATCAACAAGGAGACCGATGCTCCCACCATGGCCTCCAAGAAGTACATCTTCTTTGGCAAGATTGACGTCGTCCTCAAGGCCTCTACCGGCCAGGGTGTTGTCACCTCCGTCGTTCTCCAGTCCGACGACCTCGACGAGATCGATTGGGAGTGGGTTGGCGGTGACAACGCACAGGTTCAGACCAACTACTTCGGCAAGGGTGACACCAGCACCTATGACCGTGGCGCCTACCACCCCGTCTCCAACCCCCTCAACGACTACCACACCTACACCATTGACTGGACCCAGGAGTCCGTCAAGTGGCTCATCGACGGTGCTCTGGTTCGTGAGCTGAAGTACGCCGACGCCAAGGGTGGCGCCATGTTCCCCCAGACCCCCATGGAGGTCAAGATCGGAACCTGGGTTGCCGGCCGCAAGGACGCCCCCAAGGGCACTGTCGAGTGGGCTGGTGGTTACACCGACTTCTCCAAGGCTCCCTACAACGCCTACTACAAGTCCATCACCATCACTGACTACCAGGGCAACAAGGGTGTCAAGGGCGCCAAGGAGTACGTCTATGGTGACCGCTCCGGCAGCTGGGAGTCCATCGTCGTCAAGACCGAGGGCGGCAGCGACGACAGCTCTTCCTCCGCCTCCAAGACTGCCACCAAGACCGACTCCAAGACAACCCTGAGCACCGTCACCGCCTCCGGCTCTGCTTCCGCCGCCGCTTCCAGCGGAGCCTCTGCCACCGAGGACGCTGCCTCTACCGCCACTGGCTCCAGCTCCGGCTCCGGCTCTTCCAGCGCTTCTTCCACCGGCACCGCTGCCGGCGCCTCCAGCACCCCCTCTACCGTTGCCGCCAACTCCGGCTTCATGACCAAGGCCAACCTTGCTCTCGGTGCCGCCGGCCTCTTCTTCACCTTCCTGCTGTAAGCGAATCCACCGGAACTCTTGAACGACCGTACATGCGCATAAAGACAACCGAAAAAAATCATGCCGCCCGGAGAGCGGATTGTACAACTTCTTCACTTCCGATCACGATCCTTATCACGACTGAGTTACGCATGTTCCTTCATGGACCTAGCGCGCAGTTGGGGCCATACCTTGCGACATAATCTGGTACTTTTAATGATCACGCTCTCCCGCGGAATTCTGTCTCCAAGAATTGGAGGAAGCTTTTCTGCGACGGCCTTGCCAATGTTTCACGCGAGAGGAGGAAAGTCGAACAATGGGAATTGCATTTCAGATGGCGGATGCCTTTTTTCTTGAAGCAGCTGGGTAGTGTTTGTGGAAGATGGACTATGATACCTTTAGAGAAGAGTTGAAGAGGACGCCTTGTGCCATTTCGCCGAGGTAGCTGAGACAGACGAAACGTTGACAATCAGTAACAATTCAGATTTGAATACTATTACCAGGGCCCTTCGATTTGCGTGAATCTCACATCATGAAAACTTATACAAGGAGCTCAGGCTCGCATAACATCGTCGAACGTAGGTGCCTTGGTAGCGCGACTTGAGCAACCAAGAATAAAAAACACCGCGATTGCAATCTCGCCGTGTTTGAAGTTGAGCGACCCTAGCAGGGTCCCCCACCTGAATAAGAATTTTGACTCAAAGAGGAGAGGGGGGCCGGGGGAGGATGGATCCCAGAAATCGGATCCATTGCCACGCTCTACCTTATTCGGTACCTAATTTCCACCTGTGCACCGTGGCCGTCCTCACCAAGTAAGACCCAAGCAAGGAGACTTCGAGCGAGAGGCGTGAGAGGTCTCCTGTAATCAGGTACTAGAAAGTGTGGCAATGTGTGCCTGGGCACCGTTCGGTGCCGCACGGGTAGCCTAAAGTGTCTCTGCGCGTCTGATGTGATTCTAGCGTGACGGGCACCGTTGGAGCCAAGGAAAGGATTTTTGATTTTCTTTTGGGGGGGGATGGGATGAGGAGGAAGGGGGGAAGGGGGTTTGAAAGGAAATGGGATAAGTACCGCGCAGCAGCGTCGAAGGATTTGGGTGCGTGAGACTCGCCCGAGTCTTGTTAATCAAACTTGCTTGGGCCCGAGGATCTTGGTAGGCGATCGTCTCTTGAGTCTAGTGTTTAATGTTATTGCGCATCGCCCTGCGGCACAATTGTCTCGATTCTGCCAATGATGTTTTTTGCTTGGCTGCTCGCCCGGTTTCAGTGGCTTTTCTGCCGATTGAAGTCCTGCGGGAATTGTAAGATCCGTAAGGTATCCTGATGCGCTGTGGGAGGCCATATTATGATATTTCCTTCTTCCGTCCACCACTTGTTGTTGTGTCTATTGTGTATAGATACCATCGCAATGAGGCGCAATCATGAGTCGTCGGGCTCTCTGAGCAGGAGGCTAGTCGTTATTCACGATTTCGATACCAATATCATCGTAGCATGGCCCGGGTTGATGGATGACCTTTGCTGTATCCGTTCCTGTATGGCAAGCCTACCACTTCCCAGGCCTGGAGGACCGTGCCGTCCGAACCGCCCAATCAAGACAAAAGTTCCGTTTTGTCCGGGCCTAGAGGCGGAAAGGGGGTTGACGGTGACAGGCGGTGATTTGCCCCAGGGCCCTTGTTCCTCGGTACGTGTATTGACCAATTTTCTAATTGACTCGGCGAGAAGAGGCGGAAAGCGGCCCGGGGTCTCGTTCAATATTGAGCCGGGGGAGATACGGCGACGGTTGACCCGACAGGCGAGGGAGCGGAAGATGCCCGGGGATGAAGGCTGAAAGTCGAGACCCTCATAGAAACCAAAGGTGCGACTATTTCTCCTGGGAAAAACCAAAAGCGAAGCTATCGTGGGTAGCTTCCCCTTGTGGTGGGTGTATGTTCGTACCTAGTAGTTTTGGTGACTGGGCAATGCGCTTCCCAGGATCGGTAAGAAAGTATTCAGATGCCTGCCTGCCTGGGCCAAGGGTTTAAGTTTTTTTACCTGCGCTTTTATCCAGATTCGGTTGCTCCCGAGGTACTGAAATTATCAAGAGGGTTGTGAACAAGACGTAAGGAAGCGAGACAGTTCTCAACTCATTCCAAGATGGCATCGGCAGCTGGCTTTCATGAAACCGGGCCTGCCAGGCTTGATGAAGATGGCTTTGTGAAGGGACGGAAGGAAAGAATGAGCGTGCATGGCCCCGTTGGTGCCTTCCGGTCGGAGGCTTGGGTGGCTTCCTGCCCTTCGGAAGGCGGCAGGCACTCACTCCGCTTCGCCCGGCCCCTTACTCCGTTCCTGCTCCCGGAGCTTCAAAGTCGGCCGGCGTTGTGGACGGGTTCGTCTACGAGGCGGTACCGTTTCATACCGTTTCAATTGGGGTATGTGCGTACATGAACTAAAAACGTGGGCATAGCAGCACGCAGGCTTTTCTGACATATGCAGGTACGGCGCACAATGATGTCGATATCGGGCTTGGCTAGCACCGGTCTGCCGTTGGAGGCAGCATGTAGCTTGTAGCCGGCTCATCGGGTTTCGGTGGCAAAAAGAACTCACTCGCGGGACCCTTCTCTTGGTCTTCGGGCGTGGCATTTCGGACCTGCCGCGCCGATCGGCCTCTGCCATGCGGATCTCGCATGGCTGCTGTTACTAGGACGCCGGTCCCCTTCTGACGGGTTTGAGATGCACATAGGTAACCCCCACCAGCGCATTGTGGCAAGGTGGAAGTCCTACGTCGTTTTCATGATTTTTTCAAGCACATACTTTCGCGTGTCTTACTTCACGATTGTGCTATTCTGAGTTGAACATGTCTGTTATCCCAGGAATGAAAACCATCTTCTCGGTGTGAAGCACAGATGGCAATCGGTTTTCACCAGGCGAGGACGGGAACCGTGGGGGTGTTTCCGAGCAGGTTCCGACATTCCGCACGGCGTGGATATGCGGTGATTGAACAAACCCTCACCAACAAACCCCCCATCGCCAGGGAGCGAACACAACCCCACGGCGCCCGCATCTAAAACTCGGGATATAGCATCTCGTATATTGCCCTGCTTCGATTCGGTATCTCCCCGAACGGGAGACGCGGGATCTGACAGCAGCTCGGAGATAGGGGATGCTTTTCGGGCATCTGCATCGTCGTTTGTACAATCATCCGATTCCTGAGACTTTTGATCGGGCCTGGGGATTGTATGAATAGTTGGGGACTCAAAGGGGCAGGAAAGGTGCAGTAGGATCCCGGTGGCCGCCTTGGTAGACGGGCATGCATGCTGCGGCAAGAGCGGAACACATCCAAAAGGGGGACTGCTATGAAAAGACATGGCCAAAGGCACGGTGTGTTGCAGCTTTGAGCAGGATGCATGAAATCGGAGTCAAATTGTTTCCACATGTGTGTTTTGAGGTGTTTTTTTGGGGGGGGGGGGGGGGATAGAAGTCTACGAGATAAGTCCGGCTGCGTACTAAGCAGAGTTCCATCCTGCGGCCTTGCCAGCTGTACGGATATGGAGTACGATTGCCTCTGTAATTCCGTGGTCCGGAAGGGACCCTTGCCGGGCCACGTTCACGGCATGTCTAGAAACGGGGCATATTCTACCGGTATCTATCTTGTCGGTGAGGTAAAACTCTCCGTCTTCGCACCGGTAGTTGTCAGACTTTCAGCTACCATCTTATCTTCACAATGACATCCAACTAGCGTGGCGGTAGTAGAAAGATTGGCATTTAGAATTCCGAGCGACCTCATCGTCGGATGATCAATATCCTCCTGGGCAAAGATAAGAGAAAACTTGAAGATCGATTCACCTCACACAACAGCCACAGTAACAAAGTTGGACTGAACCGCGGCATCGGGCGGGTCCTCGGTGACGTGCCGATGGCCCCTGCACGGCAGACTTTGTGATTTCTCCATAAAAATGCACGTTTTCTAGAAGCTTTGACAGAAGCAAATCGAGAACGGCGAAGGCCGGTCAACCACCGCCCAACGGGAAGAATCCGCAGTTGACGTAAGGGCAAGGCTTTCGAAGGGGGCCACAAAATCTCTTCAAATTCCAAACTGGAGCTCAGTCATCAATGAGATCAATGAGATCAATGAGATGAGGCTGAACGATTCATTCAATCGTGTTGGCTGCCAAGTTGGTTTCCCCAGTGGCCTTGGAAACAGGGGATGATCGACCCGGGATGGACTTGAATGGAGAACATGGTGAAGAAAACCTAGAAAAGCTTTTTTGTGCAAATCCCCTTTCAGAGTTGTCTCAAACACCAGAGAGACCTGGACTCCAATTTTTTTATCGCTCTCTTCTCAGTCCCGCCCCTCAGTTGCGGTGTGAAGCCACCCAAGTGCCGGAAAATACTGGAGTCGATGACATCAAAACACAACCTTTACTCGGGAACGGCGGCCAAAAGAATCCCTGTGCTCACTGCTAGATTGTGGACACATGCCTTACTTCGTTATCCATTCGTTCTTTGAACAAGTAGCTCCCCATCTAGCCGCCGCATTTGCACGTCTCCAGCTCTTCATGTGTCGACATGTTGAAGTTTCGAATAGCGGACAGAAAGAGCCCGAACCCCCACCCTTCTTCAACAGCAACATCTCGAGCTGTAAGGATTAAGGACGTGCCGGGTAAAGCTCAACCGCCATCTAAAGAGAGAGATACAGGATCTAGACGGAGATGCAGATAATGTGAGAAGCCGTTGGCTCTGTTGCCGTCATTCAATACCGTCCAATCCAAGCATCCATGGCCAGGGTCCCCCGGTGATTCTTGATAGTGTAATGTGTACCCGCGCAGATAGAAGGCAAAAGCACAACCTCCAAGATTTCTAAGCCATATTTCCATAGTTACCCACCTCGGCCGGCCCAAGGCCCCATATCGGCCCGGCGAATCATGACGACGCATATCGACCTTCTTTGACGTTCCGTGCTGGAAAGGTTCCGCACCACCACGGTTCCACCCCCCTTCCAAATTGTTCAAACGGCGTCTCTGCGTCTCTGCGCCTCTGTGCCTCTGGCCTTTCCTGCATCAACGGAGTCTCAGTCAACGGGGGGCCTTCTTCTCATTCCCCTTGGTCCTTGCTCCATCGATCTCGAACCGCGGCACTGAGCCGCACTTAGGCCCATCTAGTTTCCAATCTATTCCCACTTCGTTCCCGCTGTTTGACTCCACCCGCGTCGCAGTTTTTTTCTCCTCTGCCCTCTAACACGTAGTACTCGCTGTATGTTTTTTTGCGCAAAATTCGTTATCCAGGCTTTCCAGCTTCATGGTTCCTTGGACGACCGGCGGCGTTAGTCCCCTCTTTCGCCGATGAGTTTAGGACTTAAGTTGATTTGCAGGATGGGGAGCTAAAGGTTTAAAGAGGCGTGTCATTCCCGCCTTCCGACGATATCATTCTACTCTGTACACACAAGCTTCCTGTTCTCTTATACATCAGATCATTTCTTTTATAACAATACAAGAAAAAACCTTTCGCCAGATACCCCTTCTTCTTCCTATTTTCTCACACCATACACATAAATCACAATGGCCGCTACCGACTACAAGTTTGAGGGCTGGGTTGGCCTCGACGAGAAGTCCTCCGAGGGCAACATGGTCTGGCAGGAGTACGAGCCCAAGCCGTGGGAGGAGAACGACGTCGATATCCAGATCACCCACTCCGGTGTCTGCGGCTCCGACATCCACGTCCTGCGCTCCGGCTGGGGCCCCGCCCCTTACCCCGTCTGCGTCGGCCACGAGATCGTCGGTGTCGCCGTCCGCGTCGGCTCCAAGGCCGTCGGCGGCATCAAGGTCGGCGACCGCGTCGGTGTCGGCGCCCAGTCCGACTCCTGCCTCGGCCGCCAGGGTCCCTGCGAGCCCTGCGAGACCAAGAACGAGCAGTACTGCCCCAAGTCCGTCCACACCTACGGTCACTTCCACTACAACGGCGGCAAGGCCATGGGCGGCCACTCAAAGTACCACCGCTGCCCCTCCCACTTTGTCGTCAAGATCCCCGACGGACTCGAGTCCGCCTACGCCGCGCCGATGCTGTGCGGTGGTGTGACCGTCTTCTCCCCGCTTAAGCAGCACGGCGCCGGCCCCGGCAAGACCGTCGCCATCAACGGCGTCGGCGGCCTCGGCCACATGGCCATCATGCTCGCCAAGGCCATGGGCGCTGACAAGGTCGTCGGTATCTCCCGCAAGGGCGACAAGCGCGACGAGGTCCTCAAGATGGGCGCCGACGGCTACATCGCCACCAGCGAGGAGCCCGACTGGGCCAAGACCTACGCCAACTCCTTTGACATTGTCATCTCCACCGTCTCCTCCGCCAAGGTCCCCATGCAGGACTTCCTCAACCTCGTCAAGCTCGACGGCTCCCTCGTCCAGGTCGGTCTCCCCGACGACGGCGCCTACACAATCTCCCCCGTCCCCATGGTCATGCGCCGCGTCAAGTTCACCGGCTCCCTGATCGGATCCCCCCACGAGATCCGCGAGATGTGGGAGCTCGCCGCCGAGAAGGGCGTCAAGCCCTGGATCCAGGTCCGCCCCATGAGCGAGGCCAACCAGGCCATCGTCGACTTGGAGGAGGGCAAGGCCCGCTACCGCTACGTCCTCGAGAACTAAGCGGGAGGATATTGTGTGTTTCGAAACATGATCGAACCGTTGTCTGGGGATGCTGTATATAAGATGAGGTTGATGACATGACTTGGGTGCATAGAAAGGGCATAGCGATTGGTTACATTATAGACATAGAGAGATGGACAAAATCTCAACTCAGAAGCTGAAAGCTTCGAATTTCTTATGATCTGGTTTACTCTTATCCGTGATTTTTCTACTTACAAAATGAGTCTGCCTCTAAAGGTAGCGTTCACTGGAAACTCCAAAATTGAAAAGAGTCCCTCGATTAGCTCCGTTGAGAGTAGCCCTTTGTAGATATTTCTGAAAGAAATCGAGATTTCCCGGTCTGTGAGCTTCGGTGTGGCTCCGGATGATGTCACTCCGCCTCGGTGAAGGAGTCACCTTACATCCTGGCATGTGGAGAATTGACATGGCCCCCAAACAACGACCATCTCAATTCAACTCGGAGCACTTACATCTCTCCGATCAAGTCAGACGGACTTTTCCCAACAGCGAGGCCATTGGATTTACAGTCCCCAGACTGCTGGTTTCGATGATTGGATGATTATATGCCCCTGCTGCTCTTGCTTATCCTCTTGCTTAGCCTCGGTGCCTAATGGCGAACGCCCTTACGGATAAGTAGGTAGGTTGCCTAAACGCACCGCGATATAAGCTGCCCCCAGACAGCATGACGAGAAAACCTTTCACGGGACTCGGTCATATCAGCTTGACTCTCAGGAGGCTATCTACATCCTTAAGCCTAAAATCACCTAGTTCGTAGCATCCGTTCAAAGCATTCAATCACACCTCACTAATCACTCCCCAATAAAGCCCTTTGCCGTCCAATCTCCTTAAAAGCCATGGCCCCCCATAACGACATCGCCGCATTCCACGAGGCACTGGCCTCAAGCAAGCGTATCCTCGCCCTCTGCGGCGCCGGCCTCTCTGCCTCGTCCGGCCTGCCGACCTTCCGCGGCGCCGGAGGACTCTGGCGAAACCACGACGCCACGGACCTAGCGACTATGAAAGCCTTCCGCCGGGACCCGGGCCTGGTGTGGCTATTCTACGCGTACCGGCGACACATGGCTCTATCAGCGAAGCCGAACAAGGCGCACTATGCCCTCGCCGCGCTGGCGGAAAAGAATCCGGATTTCTTGTGCCTGACGCAGAACGTTGACGGTGAGAACGACTCCAACATGTTCCCCTGCAAAGAATTAAAAGACAGCTAAGCGTTATTCTCAGGTCTCTCGCCAAGGGCAGGACATAAGGAGGACCAACTCCGCCTCCTCCACGGAAGCCTATTTGACATCAAATGCGCCAACCCGCAATGCACTTACATCGACCACAACAACACCCAAGACCCCCTCTGCCCAGCCCTTGCCCCGGCCTCTGAAGACCTCGCAGACCCAACCAAGACTCTGCCACTCCTCGACCCGACCAAAAAGCTCCCCACCATCGACGAAGCAGACCTGCCCCACTGCCCATCCTGCAAAACGGGCCTGCTGAGGCCCGGCGTCGTCTGGTTCGGCGAGGCGCTTGACGAGGCCATGCTCGACGGCGTCGACGCCTGGATCGGGCAAGGGAAAGTCGACCTCATGATCGTCGTCGGTACGTCGGCGCAGGTGTGGCCGGCCGCGGGGTACATTCTCAAGGCGCACGCGGCCGGGGCGCGGGTGTGTACCGTCAACCCCGAGGCCGAGGATGAGGGCCAGATGGGCAAGGTGAAGAAGGGGGACTTTGCGTTCGGGAGGGACGCGGCGGAGGTATTACCGTTGTTATTGGAGCCTGTTATTGGAAAGATGAGAGCGGATGGGCGGGCGTATACGGAGGATTGGAAGGCTGAGTAGAAGAAACATGAATGCGGTTTTCGCTTACTTCTTGAACTGGTTGCAGAGGATGGATCAATGACGAAACGTTGCCAGGGGTAATAGTTCTATTGAGCGTTCTTTGGTCTTATATGCCACTTTCAACCATCTCTTTGAGCCATCCGAGTATGCCGCAATGGACTGTAGTCAATTCCAATCTTTTATGACCTTATGTGTCCAAGTGAGAGCCATCGAAAGTGGCCAAATAGAGGCCATAGGGGAGAGCCATTCCAGTGAAAAGGGAACAATGTCCGTGGTTTTAATGTTTCAAGTCCCTCAAGACATGGAATTCTCGTGAAATCAGTGACTGCATTAATATGGGAGGAGGTGGATATGTTGCAAATTGTGAATAGTAACCTCAGAATCTTGGATATCTCAATAATGACGCAGTAAGTGCTATGATGGTTTGCCTAGATTTTATTGGCTAGTTGGCATATAATGAAAAGAGCTTCTTGGTTGTTGTATTTCGTACCATAGTGGCCAATTCGATGGTAGAATAACTCTCATCGTGAATTCAAGTGAAGAATGATACTTCAGCCACAAAAATGTAATCACCGACATCCTCGACTAATACACAGTGCCTGTTTAATTCGTAAACTGTCATTCTGGAGACGTGTAGTCAAAATAGGGTACTCGAGCAGGCACAATGGCCCAACTTGCAGCTTGTCCTTGCCAGCGGCTGCCCGACAGCAACATACTAAGGTAAGCCCCGCCAGGAACGAGAACACCATCCTTTTCCCAGGTCCCAGAAGCCCGGATTGACTGCTCTAGAGTACCTCATGCTTCACCTGGTCTCCATCGGGAAGGTCAAGTCAACGTTCCTTGTCAAGCCCGCAGAGACATGCCGTGGGGTGTGGGGGCTCAGCGAGACAACCCCTCGGTCAGCCGTGGGATGAGTGAGTCCTGGCAGGGTCCTCCGCATATGACCTGGGTGCAACAGTCCTCTGTAGGTGGTACGAAAAGCCCTGGTACGAATTATGGTCTTGGTAGGCTAAGTAGAAGCCGTAAATCATATCAAGAGCTATGGAAAAGCTAGAGGAGTGAAACGGAGTCGTACGGCAATACTCAAATGAGTCTGCCACATCTCGGAGTCGTCGTTGCAGCTATATAATTGAAGTTGCGGGACGCTTACAATGATAGAAGAAGAGAAAAGAGACAAGACGAACGCCAAATCTTTGAAACTACAGTAACGCCGAGAACTTGACGGGAAGCTGATTATAGAATCGTGCATTGGCATTTGACAAGCAGTCAGTGGGAGCTGCCGAGAGTAAGCGCATCGTATATCAGGCATCCATATATCTCCAAAGAGAAATGAGGAGACAACAAGAGAACCTGGCTATTACAAAACGAGGTTCAGAGGGGCAAAGAGGAAACAACATCTTGTCTCTTCAACGCTATGTCTTGACGACCACTCCTCGATCGACAAGCCATTACCATAGGTTGGGTCGACTGTTGGTCCCATCATAGCTGCAAGACACGTGGAGATTCTTCCCATCACTGAGTGAACATTCGCGCGGCATGTAGCGGCTTAAGGACGAGTGGTCTTCCTGGACTTCCAAGACTTCCAAGTGCACTGAACCGATGGGGATAGCCCCTGACAACTACACGGAAATCCATATCCAACCGAGGCTAACAGTGATCGTTCCGCGCCCGCCTTATAATTCCAGCGAGTAGAATCACAAACTGGCCAAATGCGGACGAGAGTGGTGCCAGCGATGTTAGGCTCCGTGGAAGGTCAAAATGCCAGGATCCGCACCGCATGACGTCCCGCCCCCGGATTTCCAAACCTACAGACGTGGCACAGGCGGCTCACTGCTGATCTTTGTGAGGGCGATGTGGTGCCAAAACCCTGATTCCACCCGTTGAAGGCTTGAATGCCGGGGCCTGTGTTGTGTAATACGATTGGGTTGCCATCTCAATATGCCCGATTTACATGACGACATGAGATTTCTTGCGAAGCCGAGATAAATGCGAAGGAAGCCACTGACATAATGACGGGCGTGATTCTCCGTCAATCATAGACAGGGGAGAATGCAATATTCCAGACCATAGGGTGTGAAACACGACGTCGATGAAGGCAGCATATCGTGCGGCTGAAGAGCAGACTGTAATCCGCGGGGAACAATATCAGATCGCTGTCAAGCAAAGTGCGGGGAAAGCTGGTCTTCTGTCGGGGAAGGGGGCTACCCGGTGGTGGCGATGTGCCGTTATCCGACGTGATGAGCAGTCTGAGTGAGTCTCGGGGTGGAAAAGGGAAAAAGGTCGCGCGGCGCAGCTGCAACATCAGCAAGACTGCTGGCAACGACGTCTGCCACACCATGTGGGCGGAGTCCTGCTCCATTCTTGAGGGGGAGACATTTGGTGGTCAGCAGACACTTGCAACTATTCCCGAAGGCGCTAACGACAGTTACCAAATGCTTGACCGGCGCAACTGGACGAGCGGACAAACACTGTAGAAAAAGAAGACGAAATGCACTGTCAATAGTGGCATGAGGAAAAGGCCAAGACATCGGGCACAGCTACAGCTCTTCTACAAGGTCACGGGGGTCCGTACTTGCATCTGGAGGACGGCCGACGCAGGAATATGGATCCGTAAGCAGAATAGAATACTAGGTTCACCGTCATCTATGCGCTGATGATGACAGGACCTCGCTTTCTACAGTCCCAAGAAGTGGGAATGAGTGGTGGATGAGAATGAAGTTGATGCATAGTAAGACTGCAAGACCTGTAAGACTCGGCACGCGACCAAAAGCAGGCAGGCAGAGAAACACTGCCACCGACAGACAGTTTCGATCTAAGACGGATACATGTCGTCTGAACGCACGTCGTAAATCATGAGGGCTGCCTTACCGCCTTGAGAAGCTGGGAACCGACCATGACAAGGGGACCCCTCGAACGAGTTGGCACCTGGCTTTCCGGGGGAGCTGGCACGTTGGCTAGCGTGGGGGTTAGTGTTGTCTGAAGTCTGTCGATCCGTCCAACATCCGATGGCACCAAGGTTGTTCTCACTCATGAGTCGTTACGCTTGGTCCTCTCACAATTCGATTTTGGACGTTTGCAGGGCGCTTGAGGAAACGATGGCTTGGAAAACTATTCAGAACACATGACGAAGACAGTTTCCCAATCTGGAAACTGAACGGTGGAGCCATCTTGCAACCTCGAGGTCCCATGTCGTAGCAAGGTACCTCAAAACCATCGACTGCATGATGGGCTAGCCTTCGTGTGTGTGCATGACTTGCAGCGGTGTATTGTGTCCGATGCTGGTTGCTCACCCCGTGCTTCGATCTTCACTTCCACCCCTCCGAGAAAAAAAAAGTGTCCGTGAAACGCATTCGACTTGTTGACTTGGAGGTATTGACCAGGCTATTCTCAAACTGTTTATTCTCTGATCTTGAACCCTGTTCATAACACAAGAGCTCATACGACCTCCGCCACGAAACAGCGAATAGAAAGTCCTTGACGCTCTCAATGAGGCAGATCAGAATCAGTCGGTGGGGACAAGCGACGATGTTGCTTTTCGTCCATGCGCAAAGATGCGTGAGATGCATAGACAATATAAATATGATTCGGTAGAAAACGACGGCTGAGGGAGAAGGGCTATGCTTCTCGATATCACGCGTGGGATTCGTGGCGCGGAATGATTCCTAGATGATTCGGAACAGGATGAAGCAGCTTTGATGGCTTAGGTGACCTGGAGGAGACAGCAGCAAATCTCTCTTTCCCACACACTCTCATTCTCTCTCTCACTCACTCACTTTTAGGCTTACGTGAGCAGATGCCAATCGGCGACTCACAATTCACTGAAGGCTTTCTCAACCAAACATCATTCCCTAATGATCCTAAAGCAGACGCTCATTGCCTCGCGGCATCCCTATTCAGAGCTCGGCTTGCCTCTTTCCCAAGATTCGTTGTTTACCATACAGGTCAAGCAGATCTTTCACATAAAGACTGCTGGCGCAAATGCAGCAAACTCTTTCCTTCTTCGAATCGGATCGTAATTTATTCACTGCTGAGATCGGTTGAGGCCATCAGCGTCGGCCGAAACGCCGTGTTATCCTCCAAAATCAACTCATTTGATGGGACTTGAATCGAGGTAAAAACAAGACTAACACTTGAGAAGGGCGTCGTTTTAATACCGCGCCACATGAGTGACAACCGAAATGCTTGCGGCTGGTCGCAAGGTCTTTCATGGCTCATTTCTCACAGATTGTATCGGGAGGATGGTCCCTTAGATCTGGAGGGTTTTCATCTACCCTCCAAGACTGTTCTGGTGTGAAGCTTAGCGGGATGGTATTGCCGGCTTGGAATGCTCGATTCTGCAGGTGTCCAAGGAGGCAACTTGGAGATCGAGGGCCTTTTTGAAGCTAACCCCCACGTCGAGCGGCGTAATACCCCAGAAGACGTATCTGGGTTGGGTTCAGCCATCCCACCTTCATCTCTCCCACTAGCAGATGCCGGTCTCGCGTCTTGCATGGCTAAGCAGCGATCCTGCCTTTGACTCCACGCACTGTGTCGCGAAGCCCTGGTCTAGACACTTCAGTCTCTCCGACATCCCGGTTCTCTGCTGCAGTTCTTCGTGCTACTTCGTTTGGCCAGTCGCGATCCTTGATGGTCAGTTCGGAATGGCCTGTTTGCCCATGACTTTCCGCATGGTGCGTCTTTTCCTTGAGTCCGAGAGTGAGAAGGACCTTGCTCGTATGCAAGAGCCGGTTCATCCGTTGGAGGCCCGCATCCTTCTTTTCATCTCGGGCGATGCTGACTTACGAAACGGACGAGCCGCCACAATTACGAAGTAACCTGTGACGCCACTGGTCTGTTGCAAGACTAATATCGATATGCCACCCTTTGATGGGGGTCACATCATCCCTAGCTGCCTTCCTTCTTTTCCTTCCCTCCGATGATAAAAGGCCTCCTTCCCACTCCTCCCCGTCTTCCTCGGCTTGTTGAACGACCTCTAGGATCTCCATGAACCAAGATCGGCACGGCATATACTATATTCAGTACAAACCTCATCATCTTACCTTAATTTCCCGGGTTTGATTTACACCTCTGCCACGCTTCGTGTATCCTACGTCGTGCTTCCTGTCGTCTTACCTGAAAGAAATCTTCTGCTACAATCTCCCACAACAGTCATGGCCCCTCACCAAGATGTCCCCTCACCGGCGGGTAGTTTCACAGCCGGCTTTAGCAGAATACCTTACAACCCTAATACTTCTTCACATCTACACATCGAAAGTCTGACTGCGGCTGAATCAAATTCACCTCTTAGCAGCTCATACGACAGCGCAGTACTTGGCGCAGATCTGCAGGAGACCCGACCACTTGTTCCCGGTGTCTATGTACCTACCATGTGCTTCTTCGAGCCGGGTACGGAAAACGTGGACGTCAATACTGTGGCTCGCCATGCAGTACGACTTGCTCAAGCGGGTGTGACCGGCCTGGCCACCCAGGGCTCCAACGGAGAAGCAGTCCATCTTTCACACGCCGAGCGTCAACTCGTCACGGCAACAACACGACAAGCTCTCAATGACGCCGGTTTCTCTCACATGCCCATCATCGTCGGCTGCGGAAGCCAGAGCACACGCGAGACGATACAATACTGTACTGAGGCCTGGGCTGCTGGTGGAGACTATGCCTTGGTGCTTCCTCCGTCATACTACGCTGGCCTCTTTGCTCCGTCATCGGAAACCATCTTCGAGTACTTTCATACGGTGGCTGATGCATCACCGATTCCTCTCATCATCTACAACTTTCCTGGCGCAGTGGGAGGCATGGATCTGTCCTCCGACGTCATTGTGCAGTTGTCTCAGCATCCCAACATCGTTGGCGTTAAGCTTACATGCGGAAACACGGGCAAGTTGAACCGCGTTGCCGGCGCGACGAGGAAGCTGGCAAAGAATCCCAACTCGAAGACCCCTGAGTTCCTCGTCTTGGCAGGTTCAGCCGACTTCTCTATCCAGGCCTTGGTAGCTGGAGGGCATGGCATCCTCGCAGGCCTGGCCAACATCGCCCCCAAGGCTTGCATCAGAACCATTGAGCTGTTCCAAGAGGGGAGACATGGAGAAGCTCAGGATATGCAAGAGATCGTCTCACAAGGCGACTGGACAGCGATCCAAGGTGGTGTTGTGGGCGTGAAAGCTGGCCTTCAGGCGTGGCTGGGCTACGGTGGTGTGGCCCGGAGCCCATTGCCGAAGCCCACGGCCGAGCAGATGAAGAAGTGGAAAGAAGGATTCCGTGAACTAGTCGTTCTCGAGAAGTCGCTATGAGACCAGACATCTACTTCGGCACTGGTTTGGTGTTCCAAACTGAACAAACACACACCCCCGAGCCTTTACTTGGTTCTGAGGAGATTTGAATATGGATGAGATTATGGGCTTCCGGATTTGCATGAAGGACTCTCTTGGTGCAGGAACTTGGCTTAGTTGAGATGATCATTGGCGTTCCACTTAGCAGCCTGCTACAGACAGGTTTGCCTCATTTTCTATCTCGGTTGAGCGAAAAGCTGTATTGCTGAAGGCAAAAAGTTGTTCACTTAGGTTCCACATTATACAATGTTTGATATCATAAGCATACCGCTGTGAAATATGAGATTTGACTAAGTAGCTGACCTATTGACATGATGAAGATTTTTCAATTGCTCGCACATCGTGTATTGTGATCGCCAATGGCCACGATGCTTGTGTTTTCCCCCCCCGAAAAGTTACCACAACACGTGATCCATGGCACATGAAGGGACATGTGAAGGCATGCATCAAAGACGACAGTTCTTCCCTAGCCGCTGAATAACCTGATGTCTGCCACGTCAGAGCGCCTCGTACACCTCGTGCAGCATGAAAGTCGCCTCGCTCAGGAATAAGACATCGTATTTCTCAGCCAATGCATTTCATCTCCATCATCCAGCGCTTCTTCTAAAATGCCTCCGAGAGCGGTGAAGTGAAGAAACGCAGAAAAGGGAGGAAACTCAGTCACGGCGTGGCTTCGCATGGTGACACCAACCGGCTGTCTGCATCTCGGAAGGACGGCATCATAGCGCAAACGGAAACTGATGGTTCTGCTCGTGATACAGACAGAGGTTGTCGCCAGCACAGGTTCGTTCAGGCTACAAATCAGCGCCAAGAAGGAGACGCGAAATAACGCTCGTATTAGGGGCCATAGCAAAGCCGCATCGACGGCAACACTGACCGCTCCGTTTATACTGTTTTCCCAATCTCATAGTCTGCCAGCAGTCACCCGTAGCGTTTCCGGATTCGAAAACCCGGAGCGGCTGAGGTTTCCCACTTCAGGATGAGGTCTGTCGTCAACGTTACCCAAATGAGCAAAGACTGTCCAATGGAGAGAGCCCCCACAGCGCGGTCTTTAACGATGTCGTGATACAAACACGCGCCGTATCTATTTTGGTATGCTATCGAAGATTTAGTCCTACGGTTGTTCCTAGATGCGAAAGCTCACTCAGGGTCGTCACCAGCTGATCATGCATCCACATCCTCCATCCGAGGTAGGCAGAGGAAGAGTAACATCGTCGAACATCGTCGAACATCGACACCATGTCGCGCAACGGTACGCGGCGGCAGGTGCACGAGCATGACGAGTTTCCCACATTCTGGGTTATGATACAAGGTTGGTGACAGCACGGGATCATGGATCGGATCCGACGGCTTTTCTCGTTTGCTTCGAAATCTTGGAAGGGGCCAACTTGACTGTTCCATATGAAAGCATAAAATCGTGCCGAAATCCCGATTTTTTTTGAGAAAAAGGCCTTTGCCTCCTTCATGCATCTCGAATTGACTTGACGTGCACTGTCTCAACACACAATGGTTTCGACTTTGTCACTTGTTATTGGCATTCTTCTGGCCGCGTCATGTACCATCTCGGCGCAACAGTACCCTATTGTTGGAGTGAGATCCGGTATCAATATGCGGACTGGTGAAATGCCAATAAGGAGGAACATCAACACCATACACGAAGAAGCCGGACCGCAATGGTAAGACTAAAGCTTGATGATAGACACCATCTTTCTCACAAACGCTTAGGGACTTATACATTGGAGCCCTCACGGCTATGCAGGATGCGAACGAAACCGATCCCATATCGTATTTTCAAGTCGCTGGTTTGTCATCGTATAGTCCCTTCATCATCAGAACATTCTACTGACAGTAGCAGGCATTCATGGACAGCCGTATATGGCCTGGTCAGGAGGGGGACCACAGACCGGGGCGAATGCTGGATATTGCCCACATAACGTACGTCTTCACAGTCCGGCAGCGCAATTGTTTTTTTTTTTTTTTTCACTTCTTGCTAATAGTCAACAAGCAAGGACTGTTTGGTACTTGGCATCGCGGATATCTCTCGCTTTACGAGGTTCGTGCGACCGATCACCCAAACATGAAGAATCAATGAGTGAGTGAAAACTGACTACTTGTTCCAGCAAGTGCTAGTCCGCTACGCCAAGCGTATTGCGCTCTCTTACCCGGAGTCTCATAAGCGAGAATACGTTGAAGCTGCGGAGAGTTTGCGCGTTGCGTACTGGGACTGGGCCGCGGACTCCCAGGTTCCGCCCGTGACGGCGATGCCGACAGTTGTCATCAAGAGGCCTGTGGGCGGCGCCTTGCAGCCACTCGCGGTGCGAAACCCATTCTACCGTTTTACTTATCCGAAAACGGCTCTCAATGGCAGATTTGGCAGCTTTGATGGAAAGAATTACACGAAGCGGTGTGTTGGAGACGGCGAAAGCTATCCCGATACGGCGAACGCGAGGCTCAAGGGATACGGCTTGAAGGAAAAGGTTGTAAGTTGATGAATACAATTCCAAAGAGCAAGCTTGTGGCGTTTCAAGTTGGTTGTCTTTACTGATTAGCCGCAGTATAATGTCTTCTTGAAGGCAACCTCCTTCGATGAGATGGTCACTGCCCAGAATGAAGGCGCCAACTTTGAAGGGCCTCATGGAGAAGTCCATGTCGGGGCCGCCTGCGGCCAGGATCTCCTCCATCTATCAACCTCGGCATTCGAACCACTATTGTAAGTTCTTCCTCACCCTTGTGACGCCAGGTCTGATTCGTCTCCCAAGCTGGCTTCATCATGCCAATGTAGATCGCCTCATTGCCTTCTGGCAAGCTCTTCACTTCGAAAATGCCACAATGCATTTCTCCTATGCCTCATCTCAGATGTTCGCCACGCCATCCGGGACCACCATCAACCCGCAGTACCCCTTGTGGCCCTTTACTGGGACGGGCGGTGGTCCGCTTACCAGCGAATCGGTCACGCACGTCCGTGACTGGGGGTATACGTATGCACCGATGAGGTTCTGGGATCAGACACCAGGAGACGTTAAGATGGCGGTCAGTAGGACGGTAAATAGCATCTACGGTCCTCAGAAGCAGCAATCTTCTTCCACGAGGGGCAAGCGGCGCAAGATGGTCCCGATAAGGCAGTATGTCGCCAAAGTCGAAGTTGAGAGAAACGAGCTGGACTTGCCTTGCCAAGTGCAGCTTTTCTTGAAAGGCTCGATGGCGGGCTCTTTGACGTTACTGGATATGCCCAGGCAGGGGAAAAGCTATGATGAGATTCCTCTGAATCGAGGCATCGACGCTGCTGGCCTGCGTGGTCTCTCGGTAAGCGGGATTCTTGGAGGGATTGCGGATGGGCTGGAAGTGGTCATTGACAAGGTGAGTACAACCATCGCACTTAATCCCCATATGACGCGTAGTTTCAACGCCATGTGAGACTGATAAGCTTCTCAACAGTTGGATGGCACAGCTACGCCGTTGGAACGTGTCCCAAGTTTGAAAATTGAAGTTGAAGACCAAGAGATCGTTCCATCGGACTCTACGGACCAACTTCCGACGCTGGGTACTAGGCGGAGTCGGCCCGCAATGCTACGACCTCTGTCAGTTGACTACTAGATGGCTAATTTGATTGCTAAGAGAAGTCTTTTTCTTGCGCACACACATACATATGTTCGTAATCTTCGGGTCAATGTTTCTCATGAGTGAAAGGGATGCCGGTACTTCTGCTTGCCGCTTTCGGTCCGGCGTTTGGTAACAATACGAGGCGCATTTTGTACTTAGATAAGGTAGTGATAGTGAAGTATACACCAACAAGCCCTGTCAAATGGTTCGGGTTTGAGACATGCTCTGCCGTTTTGTATTCATGTGCCTGAATGATCTGTCAGATGACATTGGGATTTCCGCCCGCTTGGGGGTTGTATGCGACACATCTGCTCGTTTTAAGAAGCACGATGTGCACATAGGCAATGCGGAACGTCGGACGTGAGAACAAGTCAAATATGGTCACCTAAACACAAGAACACCAAGCCCTGGTACGACGAGACCCAAAACCAGGGCGAACGAGCGAGGTTGTACTTAACGGCCCGAAAGGCGCGTCTGATGTGTCTTACGGGCGCTTAAGTAGACGTCAGTCGGTGAGGGTGGTGATATTCTTGCACGTATGACTGGAGACTAGGGCTGCGGCATGAAGGTCCTTGTTCATATCAAGGTCAAGACCAGTCAAATTCTAGTTGGAGACGAGAAGATCGCCACACGGAGGCGATAATGGGACTAATAGCTATTTACACATCCTGTCCACCCATGAGCCACAGCGCGCCACAACTCGCCTGAAGCAGCATGCCACAGACGAGGAACACCTTACCCGCCTGTCCATCGCTGCTGAACATCAAGCTAACAACCACAAAGACATTGAGCGGGATTCTCAGGACGCCGTACACCTGTGCCCTGACACCGTCATCGACGACTTTCCCCTTGAGGTATCCCATCGAGGGGAAATACAACCCGACGCAGGCTTCGAACAGGCAGAAGAGCCAAAAGGTGACTTGCTCCGCGCGAGGAGCACCCGTTCCGAGAGCGAAGAACACGGCGTTGGCGGCGAACAGGACCGATAGCAGCAGCCGGGATGGCGTGGAGACGAGGGCGAGCAGGCGGGGGTACAGAAGAGAGGCGAGGAGGGTCGAGGCCATAAAGGAGGCGAAGATGATGCCGTATGGCAGTGTTTCGGGTGAGGATGAGGCCGAGACGAGAACCGGGGACCAGAGTACTACAAAGAGATACATTGAGCCTTCAAACATGGTTGAGGCGAGGCCGATTGTGAGAACGCGCTTGTCCGTCATTGTGGCCCAAAGACTAGGCTTGTTGACGTTGGACCTTTCCGATGAAGAGACTTGACCTGCCGAGCCATAGTTCTCGTCCTTCACACTCAGTCAGTAAGAAAATAGCAATAGTATACGATTTGATGTTGCAACGTACCCATTGACTGGCAATAACACCAGCAGCAACGACCAGCAGCCCGACACTGGCCAAAAATGGCGACTTGCGCGTCCCAGTCACGGAGACGAGCCATTCGCTCACAACACCGCTCACAATCGCGACAATGCTGTTGACAGTGCTCATCAGGCCGAACGTCCGCGAAAGGTCCATGCCCTTCTCGCTCAGACGACGGGCATGGAAATCCGTCACCATCCAGCTCTCAAAGACGCTGAACAGGAGACTAGTTCCCAGACCGCCGAGTACGCGGCCGATGAAGAGCAACGGGACACTGGGTATCGTGGTGAGAATGCAGGAGAGCGCGTATGCGGCGCAGAAGAAGAGGCAGCTGGCCTTGCGGCCGTGGCGGTCGGCTAGTGAACCGATGAAGTAGCCGGCCACGGCGCCGGAGACGAAGCCGGTTGTGAAGAGCGTCGGCACGAAGTCTGCCGAGATTTGATGCTCATTCTTGTAAAGAGAGTAGAGGAATGGCCCCTAATGTTGCCATGTCAGGAGGTTCGATCCTTAGATTCAGAGATTGCATGTGAGGGGCTAGCTACCTGTAGCCAGTCTGAACCCATTACGAGGGCATAGACGACGTAGAAGGCCCATTGAGAGCCTGTCTGCTTTGACTTCTGTTGTGAACTCTTCTTCGCATCTTTCTTGGAGACATCAGACTTGTCTTGGCCTCCCGAAGCGAAGAGAACGCCGCAGGCGAGGAGAAGGCCGGCGAGGTTGATCTGGTAGATGTCTAGCATCGTGGAGGATACCTAGCGGGTGACTGGGTCCTAGATTCTCAATCTTTGTACGGACTACACTGGCAGACACGTCGAGTGAGGGATACTAAGTAGGGTATGAAATGAAGCCAGCTTCGATGTGAGATTGTGGTAAGAGTCGAGATTAAGAGCGAAAGCCCCGTGAGGTGGAGTTGAAGTCATTAAACTTCGAAGTTCCAGGTGTCCTTCTCCATCTTGCACGGGGTGATTTTCCGGGGGCTAAGCTGGAGCATTGAGTGTTTCGGGCGCACAACCTCCAAAGGGGCTCTTCCAAACGTCTCGTTTTAGTTCATTGAGTTCGTCTGATGTTCGTGAGCTTGGTGTTCGGACGATTTTTTTCTCTCTCGTGTGGACTTGTAAACTTATGTAAATCCATTGTCATATTGTCAGTCTGACTACGTGGACTGAGTCATATTGAGCCACTTACAAAACGTAGAGGGGGATGAGAGAAAGCTGCCAGAAGCTGCGAACGAGACAAGAAAGCGACCTAGACAGGAGTGTCCGGGGCCATGCTATCCCTGTAACTGACACGAGCTAGGGGCCTCACAGTGTGCGGACCCTCAGGAAGATCACTCCGTAGCTTCAAACAAAATGGTTTCCGGAAACATTCTATAAAAACCTCGCGTATTTTACCATCTTCCAGACCTGGGGTCATGAGGATGCAATAAAAGCACCCAGTTTCACTTCACCCTAGTAATATATCCGTACTTGCTTTCCTGGTTTGCCTCGCGAGCCTGACCTCCTATCACTTGTCATCCTTTTCATATCGCTTAGATATGTAAGACTTCGGTCCCAACCCTTCGTTGGCTTTCGGCTGTATCAACTCATCGAACAAGTGCCGTCCAGTATCCCGGACGGACCCAATGATGAAGAATCTACGGAATCAATCAACGCCGATGTACAGCGCTGCATTTGACGTCTGGCAGGGAAAAAACCAAGCAAGTATGCGTAGTAGGGAAATTGAAAAGAAGGGCACGGTCAGTTGTGCCGAATCTCATCCATTTAGCCCCCAAGAGCCGTGCCCATATTCTGGCTTGATCCAAACGATGCAATGGAGCTAACCACTCTATGTAACGTTCATTTTATTCCCGTGATCTTCCACGCAGGATCGTCGAACCTAGTACCACCTACCGCATAGAGCTCTTGTGCGGGGTCATGGACTAAACTTTGCTAATCAAGTCGGACGACGTTGCGGCCGGGATTGCCGTGCGGTCATTATGCATGAGGCAAGGCGATGGAAGTAAATGAAAATGAGCTCTTCGGAGACTCGGTCGGTGATCCAGCTTCAACTCTGACACGAACTGCGTAGCTTCGGGTTTGGGTTCAGACTCTTCTCGCCGGATAACACCCAACGAGCAGACTCTCCTTCTCTCGGGTACTACTTGAGCATCGAATGCCGTTCTCGAAGCAGTTGGTCCATTTCCTCCCAGCGTGCTCTCGTCGCATGTAAATCATGCGCTTCCTCGTACCGCTCATTGCCTTCGTAGTGGCGGGATGTTGCCAATCGTTTGATCCATTAGCCTTCGTTGACCCATTAATCGGTTCCCAACGCGGCGGGAACGTATTCGCCGGTGCGACACTACCATACGGCCTCGCCAAGGCCGTAGCCGATGTCGACGGGGAAAAGACTGGAGGTTACTCGACCGACGGGAGCAACATCACCGGCTTCAGTATCGTCCACGACAGCGGCACCGGCGGAAACCCCAGCCTGGGCAATTTCCCGCTCTTCCCTCAGCTCTGCCCCGGCGACGAGCTTAATAACTGTAGATTCCGCATCGGGGACCGGGCGACGCAGCATGACGTGAACAAGACCGTCGCCGAGCCGGGCTACTTCTCCGTCGAGCTGTCGTCCGGCGTGAAGGCGGACATGACGGTATCTGAGCACGCGGCGCTCATGCGGTTCAAGTTCCCGAGCGGCGGAAGCGAGCATCCGCTCGTGCTGTTGGACTCGACAGATCTTTGGGCGAGCAGGCAAAACGCGTCGATCAAGGTCGACACGCCCACAGGGCGAATGTTTGGAAACGGGACATTCCTGCCTAGCTTCGGTGCTGGGTCGTACGTGCTTCACTACTGCGTCGACTTCTTTGGCGCCCAGGTCTTTGATACTGGGGTATGGGTCAATAACAGAGCCGGTAACGAGCCCAAGGAGCTGTTCATTACGAGAGGCTTCAACCTGTTCTACCTCGAGGGCGGCGGCTTCGTGCGCTTCAAAGAGCTGACCAACGACACCGTCACTGCCAGAGTGGGAGTCTCGTTCAAGAGCAGTGATCAGGCATGTCGCAACGCAGAAAAGGAGATACCGGATCCGCTGAACAACTTTGATTCGCTGGTGAAGACAGCAAAGGACGCTTGGAGAGAGAAACTGAGCCCCGTTTCAGTCAAGGCAGCTGGCGCAACGGAAGACTTGCAAAAGAGTTTCTGGAGCGGCTTATACCGTAACATGATTTCTCCTCAGAATTACACTGGTGAGAATCCGCATTGGGATAGCCAGATCCCTTACTTTGATTCGTTCTACTGGCAAGTATCCATTTCATGTCTCCAGCTCTCCTTTTCTAATAATGTGCAGCATGTGGGACAGCTTTCGTGCCCAACACCCCCTGCTTACCGTTATCGATCCAGCGGCTCAAGCGCAAATGATAAACTCCATGCTCGACATCTACAAGCACGAGGGCTGGCTGCCAGACTGTCGCATGTCTCTCTGCAAAGGCTGGACTCAAGGAGGCTCCAACGCCGATGTCGTAATCGTTGACTCCTACGTCAAAAACCTAACCTCGGTAGACTGGAAGGTGGCTCTCGCGGCCATAACGAAAGATGCCGAGGACGAACCCCTGGAGTGGTCTTATGAGGGACGCGGCAGCCTCACAAGCTGGAAGACCCTCAACTACATCCCGTATCTAGACTTTGACCCAGTTGGATTTGGTACAAACTCAAGAAGCATCACGAGGACTTTGGAATACTCTTACAACGACTACTGCCTTGCAACCCTAGCTCAGGGGCTAGGGGAGGGTCAGTCACACGACAAATACATTGCAAGAAGTATGAACTGGCAGAATCTGTGGAAAGAGGACCAAAGGTCTTTGATCAATGGCACCGACACTGGATTCTCTGGCTTCTTCCAGCCCAAGTACATGAATGGAACGTGGGGCTTCCAAGATCCCATAGCTTGCTCGAATCTCGCCGGGTTCTGCTCCCTGACGACAAATCCGAGCGAAACGTTCGAGGCGAGCATCTGGCAGTACCAATTGTTAGTACACTCCAATTTCTTGCGACTGCGGTCTAGCTAATCTGTCTCCAGCATCGTTCCCCACTCCACATCAACCCTCATCGATCTCATGGGCGGCGATGACGCCTTCGTGTCCCGCCTCAACTACTTCCACGCGTCGCCACTAGCCGACATCTCCAATGAGCCCGTATTCCTGACCGTCTATCTCTACCACTACGCCGGTCGGCCAGGCCTCTCAGCGGAACGCATCCACAAATACATCCCCTCGGCCTTCAACTCTTCGCGTGGCGGGTTGCCGGGTAATGACGACTCGGGCGCCATGGGGGCTTTTCTTGCCTTCTCCGTCATGGGCCTATTCCCAGTCGCGGGGCAAAATGTGTATCTCATCACGCCGCCGTTCTTTGAGGAAGTTAGTGTCAAAAATCCGGTGACGGGAAAGAATGCCACTATCAAATGTGTCGGGTTTGACGCTGCGTACAAGAACATCTACGTGCAGAGTGCCAAGCTGGACGGGGAGGCGTATACCAAGAGTTGGATCGGACATAAATTCTTCAGTCAGGGCAAGACGTTAGAGTTGACGCTGGGAGACAAGGAGTCCGACTGGGGGAAGAGTAAAGAGGCAAGGCCGCCGAGTTATGTGGCTGTATCGAAGACGTGAGAGTGTGGAGCCGTGCGTGGTATCCGCAGACGTATACTCAGATGCTCATGTTTCGCAGTATCCTCACATGGAATACAACACAATAGCCATCGAGACTCTGTAATTAATTCAATCGGCAACGTTGAGGCAAGAAGCACCGCCTGATGTGTATATAACCTAGTGGTGGAAAGTAATGCCTGGTTTCGGCAAGAGCGCGAGTTCGAATTTGTTGGTCCTACATAAGGCCACAAGCAGCTTCTTTTTTGGACTTCTTTTGGTCTCTTCTTTTACGATTCTCTTTTTCTTACTATCTGCTTCCATGTGTTCTTCTCACCGTCAATCTAGCTACCGCATCCCCGCGGCGTCATGCTCCCAAAACCTCTTGACTCCAAGTCTCGTTCTCGTAGCTCACGCTGCTCTTTGGCGTACTTGCGGTCGATAAAATTAGCACTGTCGTATAGATCGACGGCCTTTGGGTCGACGGCGCTGCCGATCGCATGTTCCTCCTCACTGGCGAACAAGAAGAAGGTGCCGCCGGGGGCGTCATCGCAGCTCATGTGGTGAACCACGATGTTTTCTGCGTCGGCGCAGAAGACTCTCTCGGCAGCTTTTACATTTCGAGCGGCAAGAAGAGCGACTGCCGCGGCTCGTAGGCCGGGCAGGGTACTATGTTGTCTTTTCATTTTGGTGTGTGATATTTATTAATTTGGAGTGCTCTTCCCAGGAAGAGTGAAAGGTTCGTTGGTTTTGGTGTGTAAAGGAGACAGCTTAGGACTCTTCTGGCGAACAAATTGAGTACGATTGACGACGATTCATGGCTAGAAAGATGATTTACAAGAAGCTGAATGGTGAATGGACGGCATTTTGAAGGAAGTCACATTCACCTCTCGGTGTAATTCTCAGATATCCCCCTGATGAGGATCATGTGCTCAAGTGAAGCTAAATAGCGACGCATACGCTTCCTCGGTCACATCATTGATGTAACGCCGAGTGAGGCAGCTTACTATCCCTCACCTTAGCCAGGTGTGATCACACGAAATACCAAGTAAACGGCCAGACTATTGTCAAAATAGTGTCTTTTTTGACGTGATATCCTGTCTTGAAGCCCTTTTCTGTAACCTGTATTTGGTGACCATAATCGCTTCAAGCGGACTCCATCCAGGAGTCATACCTGGGGAAAACTCCCTGTGTAACCGCAAGCCCATACCTTCCCATCCCGTCCGGCCAGTGTCGCCTTCGCATGACCCCATTCCCCAAAATGCTGCCTTTACACAATAATCAAATCGTCGTCATCGTCATCTTCAAAAGAAACCGCCTGCGGCAGATCCATACCCAGACTCTCCCTCCCAGCCTCGCGAATCCCCTTCTCCGTCACGAATCTCGTCTTCTTCCTCACCGGCGGCTTATCGCTATTCAGCTTTTCGCCTTCCTTCATCTTCGCAAGCTTGTCCTTGAGATTGCCACCCCATCCAAAACCGGTCTTCAGCCCTGTCGTGGCCGTCGCCGACGACGGCGCCCCGATCGAGGAGCTAGACTGCGCGCTCTGCGGTCTCTTTCGTTTGATCGGGCTGAGGTGAAGAGCTAGTTCCCTATTTCTGGGCATAATGCCTAAGCTCTTGATATCAGGCTTCTGTCGCGCCCCGAGTACGTTCGAAGCTGACGAGGATGACGGCAAACTTGACGCGGACGTAGGGTTACGATTGCGGTCTGTTTGTTGCATGTACTCCTTTCCAGTGCCGGCGCCGATTTTACTCAGCCGCGACATGATGCCCCTCTCGCGTTCTTGGGCAATCATCCTTCTTTTTAGATTCTCTTCCTTTTCTCTCCTGTCCATAAGAGCCTGGCCTCCGTCAATGAGTGACGCAGAACTCATTGATTTCGTAGCGAACCAATGGCTGTGTGTTTCTCGGTCGTACTTTCCCGATTTCTTCTCGGGCTGTGGGTTAACGAGCTGTCTCGATTTCCACTTGAACTTCTCTCCAACACCGCCAAAGTCCATTGTGTTGACCTCCATGCGACTTGCTCGCTGCTTGGAGACAGCTTCGTTAGTATGAAATTCGCAAAACTCGGTTCGTTTCTTGTTGACCCAAGAGTTGCAGAACTCGCCATCTTTCTTGATGGATTTGCAGAATCCCAAGTCCCGGGCCTTTCCAATCTCCATGATTGTGTCAGCATCAGAGTTGATCACTAGACTGAACTTCCCAGTGGCTTCTCTGCCAACTGGAGGTGGCATAATGGTCGGGTTCAGAATCGCCAGCACTGTGCCTTCTGTGAGCTTCCAAAATCGGGTAAATCCTGAGTTGAAGAGAAAAAGCTCAAGTTCCCACTTTAGATCGCATAATGTGACGACCATGTACTTCCCTCGGTCTGACTGCTTGCCATTTTGATCAGCCCGGGGCTTGTGAGAGCGGGGTTCTGACTTCTTTGCAATAACGGCGAAGACGACAATGTCTTGTTCAATGTCTGGGAGCTGAAACTCTGGAGCCTTAACCTTCCGCAGCAAGTCGGGCAACTTGAATATCTTCTTTCCAGACAGAGTCCTGGTCAAGACTTGGTGGGGAAGAATGCGCTGGGAGAGATGAAAGCTAGAATACGGTTCGAATGCCGATGCTTCGGCTTCCGGCACATCTGCTGGCGCGACCTTCTTCGGTCTTTGTGGTTTCTGTCCAGCCATCATCCAGTCCGGTGGAGGCTCGTAGAGACCTTGGGGGTCGTCGTCGTCTTTGGAGGATGATGGAGCTGGAAGAGCAGGTATTGCGTCTAGCTTGCGCTGGTTGGGTTCTGCTCTGCTCATTCCACCAAGGATCTCATCTCTGGAGAAACTCGGCGCAGCTTCCTCTTGCTCGGGAATGTCAATCGCCTTTTCCTTGAACTGCTCAATCTCTTTCTGCCCAATATCAAAAGTCTCCGACCTGACTTTTTGTACTCTTTCCCTCAATCCCTGTCGGTCGACCTCTTGTGTTCTTGCTGCGGCTAGCCTCTCATTGAAACTCAGTGGTCGTGATACCTCTTGTTGAGCAGGAGTCCGTGACCTTTGAAGATAACCGCCGAACTGCTGCTGCCCATCTTGGGGATTTGTATTCCTGCGCAGCACACTCGGTGCTCTCTTGATACCTTTATCAATCCCGAGCGCAACCCGGGTCGGCGATGCTTTTGGTGGTGCGGGCTGAGTCTTTCGGATTGGAGACACAGGCACCTCGATGGTGGCCTGGGGTTCAGGTCGGGAGAGCGCCCGGCCAACTCCAAAACCTTTCGAGGTTGGTCGCGTTTGAGTCGGTGGAGCTGCTTCCGTCCTCTCCCTTGCGCTCTGCAGTTTCTTCAACTTTAACCTTGCCTGAATCTCCTGCAACTTCAACTGAAGTGTCTCCTCGTCCTCGTCCTCCTGGTCGTCCATTTCGTCGATCAAATTCGCCGATCGTGTAGATAAGGTGGAGTTCGCTCGTCCCCTCTTTAACGGTGAAGGAGAGGGTGATCCTCGATTTTGAAGGCGTCTGAGGCGCTCGCGACCGCTCGGGGTGCTAATGAGGGCTTCGTGAGGAGATCGGGGAGGCCATTGAGGCTCGTCGGGCGGGGGGGCTACGTTGATGTTATGATGCTGATCGTTTAGGATGTCCATTCATTACGAACCAGGAGGCATCTCGCCGGGGTATCACAATGGTGTAGTCGAGGGCGTAGCTGTCGTATGTCCAGTCCGCCTTCCGGAAAAGACCGCTTAATGGAGCTTTAACGCCACAAGCCCATGACCCGCCAGCCGGCCTTGTCAGCTTCGTCCGGCGCAAGACTGGATTGAAAGTCGAGACGAGGGGTCTGTGCTGGCAAATAAACAGCAAGCGGACAAAGAAAAGGAGACGATAGCGACTGATGAGAAGGGTGTGAGGTGCGGCTAAAGGAGTGACGTCGAAGTTGGTGAGCCAAATGACCGCCTAAAACAAAATAAAGCAAGAGTGCGAATAGTGCGGTAAGAATGCCTCGAAATCGTTATCGAATTGTCGCATCTGAACCTCGTCGTCACGATAAGCCTGGTCAGACTAGCCTGAGAAGAGGAGTTTGACGTGGAGTAGTCGATGACTTTTCCCTGTTTCCATTGGCTGTAGTCGCGTTAAGCCCCAGACGACGCGATCCACTTTATAATTGAACCCGGCGCGTCGCGCGTAAGAGCACAGCACAGACAGAAAGGGTCCTATCAACTTCTCAGTCCAAAGACGACCGGTCTCAGAGGAAAGTACCAGGTATCTTCGTCCCACTCACTTTTGACCACCACCAGCTGGGCTGCTCCCATTCAGACTTCAACTCACCACCGATCTTTCTTAGACCTCTCACACAATCAAAAGCCGTTCTTTTTGGGTCAATTGGTCTATTTTTTGGTGTAAATCACTCCTTGAACATCATCAACCTAACTCCTACACACATCATCTTCGTCATGGCGAGAACAAGAGCGACCAAGGCCGCACCGGCGGCAAAGACCGAGTCGAGCAATGCCTCTTCGACGGCCAAATACACTCTACCCGAAGAGTCGTCAAGCGCTCCCCAGCTGTTCATAATCCCCCAAAAAGCTACCCGTGAGGCTCGCATCGTCTCTCTTCCCAACCCTCGCTACTCCAAGCCCACCCGCTACCTGCTTTGCCCGGAGACAGGCATCTACGAGTTCACAAAGGTTGCTGCGCCGAAGACGACACCAAGGAGCTGGATGATTGAGACGACCGCTTGCACACTGGAGGAGACGGATGAAAAGGACGAATCTCGGCTTGAAGCCCAGGTCACCAATAGCGCCGACCTTTTTGTCGCGACAGCTGTGGATCCTCTGTTCCTACTGGTTCCGGGCCTATTTGGCACCGCGAAGCCAACAGACACGAAGCGACTATTCCTTTCCAGCGACGATCACTTCGATGCAGTCTCGACTTCGTCTTCTCACATGTCCGAAGCGCTGCGATGCCCCAAGACGAGAGCGCTCCTCGAGTCACGCATGCAAGTCGTGTGTGATACCGTCGATGCTGGCGATGAGAAGATGTACCGGCTGAGCGAGAAGAAGCTTGTTCTTCAAATTCTCGCAAAGGCACGGTCTATGAGCTCCAAGGGACTCCCCGCCAGCATGGACGAGAAGTTTGTCAAGAAAGTCTTGGAAGCTCCTATTCAAGTTCAGAAGTCACAAGCTGTCAAGGTGGAAGTGGCTGCGAACGAAGCGAATACGTCGACACCGTCGAACGAAACTGGTGAATCCCAGTCATCCGTCTCGACTGTTGACAGCAAAGCCTCAGCTACATCCAATGTTTCCACAGCAGCCACATCGGTCGATGGAGAAGTATCCGAAGAGACCGTCGTTAGTGCTATCCAAGCATCCGCCGAGGTGACCAGCTTGCAACGACTCAAAGTTGCCTTCAGCTTCATCTGCTCGAGCTATGTCGCGCCAGGCATGGCGTTGATTTTGAAGAAGCTCCTTGCCGATAAGGAAACTTCAGGCGTCGACTTCTCGCCATTGGACGAATATGTGGTCCAGCTCACCAAGCTTCGCGCAGAAGCTGCCTCATCTCGCTCCATGGCCGACTACTCGAGGAAACGCATGCTCGACGAGGAAGAGGAGGAGGCCCGCGCTGAGAAGAAGCGCAAGATGGAAGAGGAAAAGAAGAAGAAGGCCAGTCAAACGCGAGGCGTGAAGGCCTTGGGCAAGGTCAACACCACGGGCATGAAGAAAATGAGCGACTTCTTCAAGAAGAAATAGGCTAGCCGGCGGCCGACCATTTGAATGCAATCATTTTTGGGTATCGGTACTCGTTCACAAACAAAATGTATCGTCCCCTTACTCCGTACCTCTAGCTCGGCCCCGATATCCACCGCGAACGCTCGCCGCGCCTCTGCCGATCCTCGATGTGCTACTCGAGTAGCTGTGACCGCGGGTTGCCGATGAGGTGCCTCGCACACGCCCACGAGAAACTCCCCGGCCACGTGGTGCGCTGCCGACTGCCGCCTGTCTCTGTCGCTCTTCGTCTTCCTCCTCTCTCTTCCTCCGAGCCGCTTCGCGTCGCCTCTCTTCTTCAGCCGCCCGTCTCTCGGCAAGCTGCTGCTTCTGTAGAGTCTCTGCCTCCAGTTGTACCAAGTCGTTACTTGCGCCTTGCCAGTTAGGGTTCAGAATGAGTCGCTGATTGTGTTCGGTTTGGGAGAGGATTCGGGTCCAGGTGTTGAGGAGTGTGGATGCGTTTGACACGGTGCTGCCAACAGTCTGAGGGCGAGGTCAGTTGGTTTCATTTCAGAGAAGCTTCTCGCGGGGCGACGCACATTCATGTTGCCCTTGGCCTTGTCAAGGGTGCTGATTATGCCTTCAATGGCAGCATTGATGTTCCGCACTCCCTCCAATTCTTTCCGCAAAGAAGCCTCTCTGTCATATGGGGCATTGTGAGTCTGATTTGCGGGCGTCTTTGGTGTCTTGGGTGTCTTTGGTGTTCTAGGGGTTTCGGGCCGCTCGGAGGGAGGTGCCCCTCTGCCCTCGGGGCCAGGAGATGCCCATATGTCCTCGGTGATGGAATCGTCGGTGTAGTCTGCCATAGTGGTAGGGGCACTTGGGCGTTCAGCTGCAGCTACAGATTGGTTGTGGCTCTGTTCTATTCGGCGATTGTCGGTCCAGACTTGGATGAGGGGACGTTCCGTTTGAAGCGCAGTCTAGCTTGTTCGTGCTGTCAGGAAGCGCGGCGCAAGACGGAGTGTGACGTTATTTGTTGATGGATTAAGACTTTTGGTTTAGAGGTCTTCGGTCGCTTGGGGGAAAATGTGGGATGCAACGAGTGAGGGGCACTCAGGAGTGGAGATACTGTGGTGCCAGAGGTACGAATAGGTGTACAGTGGCCTGTGCTTTACCTAGTACACCAGCTTCAGCGTGTACCTTAGAAAGTAGGACCTGGATAGTGACAGTGCTCGCCCATTCGAGCGCTGTTGATTATACGCGAAAATTCGCGTCTCCTGAGTCGTCAACGCGTCCCCGCTGCTTTGGTGGGGTTCGCTTAATTTACAGAGAGAAATGAGGCTTGAGTGGTGAGGTGCAGGTGCAAAACGGGGGGCTGGGGCTGGTGCGCTGCAAAACACTCGGCTCACCCTCACCTCACCCCGTCCCCAGCCTCTACATTTCCCAGCCTCCAGCCTCTTCCCACGTTTTTTGAGACCATTTCCTTTTGCATCCCAACTGCCGCCCCATGATCGCGAACATCATCCATCCCATTCCACACATCCACTTCTCACTTGCATCACCTGTAGCCAGAGCAACCAGAGACATCACAAACTGAACCGTTTTAACCTCTGTGCAGTTGCCTAGTATTGTTCAAACTCATTAGGTCGCTTCATCTCTTGATACTCTGATTGCCGGAGTCCATCTAGAGTCTTTTACCTACATCACCTTATCCCCCTCTAACATCATCACCACCTCACCTTGGCGGCAATCGCAACCCGACGCTAAAAACAAACGATTCGCGCGCCCTCTCACCTCGATCAACAGTTGCATGCGCAATTGAAGTCAAAGAAATCTGAATAGGAAGGAACGGTACACCACCACCAGACGACCCGGGCTGCCTGCCTGCCCTTTTCGACACAATGGCCACCGCCTTCGCAGCATCAACACCTTCACCTCCCCCTTCCATTCGCACACCACCAACACCCAGACACGGCTGGAGCGACAACTGGGAGCCTTACTCTCCTCGCAAATCGGCACGTATCTCATCTCGTCGAGCTGCAAACCGAACTCCTTCTCCGCAACCACCAACTCACCGCACTCCTCCTCGATCAACTCGCAAGCCCATCGCACCTTCCGCAGCCACAGCCATCATGTCGCCTGCCGCTACACCTCAAAAGAAGCGCCAACCTGCGCAAGATTCTGTTCGTCGCGCTTCTGGGTTTCTAGCCGCTGACAGCTCGTCCCACGCTGCATCGTCGCTCGGTATTGACAAGATGGATCCCCAATCGAACCACACCGCCTCGACTCGTCGCAACGGCATGTTGCCCACGCCAGCCAAGACGCCCAAGAAGGCACCTACCGAGAAGCAAACTGCGCACATCAAGTCGGTCGCGCGCAATCTGTTCGCTAACGACGACGAGGCGTTGGTCACACCCAAGAAAAAGCGAACCCCGAAGAAGTATTCTGGCAATTCGTTGGAGAGCTTCACGGCAACCGAAGTAGAAGAGAAGATTGAGATCTTCACCGATTCGCAAGACCGCGTTCCTGTGCCCGACTCCAGCGTGGACAACCCGTTTTATGGCGATAGCGTCACCGTCGACAGAGAGCCCCCGCGCCGCCGCAGCAAGCGCAAAGTCGCGATTCCAGGAGAAGCAGCGCAGGGCGTTGACGATGCGCTTCAGCGTGAGGATGGCATGGTGTATGTATTGTAAGTTGACCCGCACACCTGCAAGAGAAAGGAAAGAACTTTACTAATCGCCAGCCCAGCCGTGGAAAGAAGATCTTCCGCAAGTTCGCTGAGCCCGAAGATGAAGACGACGAAGAGGGCAGCTCAAGCGAATCTCGCCTTCGTAGACCGCTCACGCGTTCTGCCATCAAGCCGCGCCTGCTTTTCCCTGTCGCACCCAAGGCCCCTGCGACAGGTATCACTCTCGAGGAAGAGGAGGCTGTTACCGACATCGAAGATCACCATCTCGAGGACGACGAGGAGGTTGAGGAAGCGCCAGAGACCCCGGCTGAGGTCGAGGAAGAGGCTCCAGCAACTCCCAAGGCACCCAAGTTTGGCCCGACGGTCGCAACCCCACCGTCGACCAGACGCACCACTCGCTCGGGATTGAAGGCGGAAGAACCGTCACCGATCAAACGCAAGACTCGTGCGAGTCCCTTTGACGACTGGCCGCGTGTCAAGAGCCGCCATGGAAGCAGTGTTACGAAGCGAGCGGGCGACGAGCTCGAAGCTTCTGCTTCTAAGCGAACCCGTACTTGATTTCAAACTTGTACGAACAATTCATCTTTGAGTATCGATCGTTGCACGACCTAGCGACTTGGAGTCTGGGTCATTACTTCGCTTCGATCAGGATTATGGGAGGAGGAAAGCACAATTCTCGATAGGCTTTTGTGTAATGGTTACCTACTTTACTTCACTTTCTGGACAAGGGAAAAGGTGGCTGTGGGATACTAGCGGTATCCTCAGTCGGATGCCCTTTTTCTACTAGGGTAGACTTTTTGTTTCACTGGGTATGGGACAAGATTTGTAAAGCCTGCGAGGAAGGATTGGGATTACGGCGTTTGTTAAGCCTTCCACCAAGGGCTGAGATTGCGTGTAGGAAGAGGGCTGCGATTAGCTCCCTAAAGTCTGCAGACCAGGTCAACACGAACAATACGAACGATTTTACATAGCATCATTGCGTTTTTGAACTGCCTGTGAATTTTGAAGCGAATCTCGATCACAAACAAGTTCGTAACATTACGTACAGCTAGAGAATACTCTTGCGATGAATCAGTCACCCCGGATAATCATGTAAGCCAAGAAAGAGCCTGACCACGTCGGTGATGTGGGAAGGCCCGACGTTGGCTGGAGGTGCCGTTCCCCTCCGAGAGCGGGCACCGGGTATCCTTCCGTGTCCAGCAAACGTCAACTTGCCCCACTATTGCAACCCCTCCATCCCACTTTGCGCTCTGAGAGTCTGTCTCGAGTTCCCTCATCCAGACACTCACTTGCTAGGTGGTAATCCATCTTCCTCATCTTGAGCGTCATAGCATTTACTGGAGTTTACGAAATCGAGTGACTTTTGTCCAAAGTTTCCAACTCGTGCCCAAATAGTCTCGTGGTCATCCAGCACCTTAGTGTTAAGCCAAGACCCGCCATCCACGTCTTGCCGCGGGGCAATTTCCTCGACTCCGAAATCTTTTTGACTTTCAACTCCCTTTCCAAACCATACCTTACCAACCAACCTTCAACTCACCTCAACTCAACTCACTTCAACAGCGCAAAGCGTAAGCCAGCTGTCGCCATGCACATCCTCCTCACCAATGACGACGGCCCGCCATCACCTCACTCCTCCCCCTACGTCCACTCCCTCGTCCACCAGCTCCAGCAAGCCGGCCATGTCGTCTCCGTCTGCCTCCCGCACACACAGCGCTCCTGGATCGGCAAGGCGCACATGATCGGCCAGACCGTCAAGCCGCTCTACTACCGCCCTTCTACTGAAGGCATCTTTGGCACCGAGGGCACGACCACGACCCGGCCCTCGGCCAACGGCGCCGACGACGAGTGGATCCTCGTCGACGGCACCCCAGCGTCGTGCGTACAGATCGGCCTGCACCACTTCTTCCAGGAGCGCGGGCCCGTCGACCTGGTCGTCAGCGGGCCCAACTACGGCCGCAACACGACGGCCGTGTTCGCGCTGAGCTCCGGCACGCTGGGCGGCGCCCTCGAAGCCGCGGTGTGTAAGAGCAAGGCGATTGCGCTGAGCTACGCGTTCTTCTCGCGGAACCACGACCCCGTCATCATCGAGGGCGCCGCGCGGCACTCGGTCAAGGTCATTGAGAAGCTGTACCAGCAGTGGCCTGCGGGTGACGAGGTGGACCTGTACAGCGTCAACGTGCCGCTTGTGGAGGGCGTCGAGACGCACAAGACGTACTTTACGAATATGCTGCAGAACTACTGGCGCGATGGCAGCTGTTTCCAGGAGATTGATGGTGATGCTGGCGACGAGGATGAGGAGGAGGAGAAGATTCGAGAGGGCGCGTTTGGGGAGACGTCTGCTGAGAAGCCGAAGCAGGGCGAGGAGGCAAAGGCCGGGGGTGAAGTTGCCAAGGGCCATCGACACAAGCACTTCAAGTGGGCGCCGAGATTTACAGATGTGTATCAGAGCGTTGAAGAGGCTGCCCCTGGCAATGATGGATGGGCTGTCAAAGAGGGCTACACGAGGTATGTGATGCCACGACCTGATATTGATGAAATGGACGCCTTCTTGGAACTGCTTATGCTAACTACCCATAGTGTGACGCCCCTGAAGGCCAACTTCTGGCATGCTGCCCAGGAACTCCATCAGAAGGAGTTGATTCTGTAAGTGAGCCCTTGATATTTGAAGAGATGTAGGTGCGCTTGAGCACTGTGTCAGCGAGAAAGAGATATAAAGACAGAGAGAGAGAGAGAGCGTGACATGGCGATGTAGCCGGGGTAGGATGTCAGGATGCGTTATTACACAAATGCATGAAGCGTAAAGAGCTAGAGATGGAAGAGACGATCAAGACATATAGAGGGACTCCTCTTGGGGGCAAGCTCGGCATGTACTCTTACCGCTCTCGATCGCTTTTTGGAGAAGACAATAAATCATCACGAGAATCATATTCTTACCCATTTTTTCATCTGTAGTGACAGCCCGCAAGCTGAGGCGCCCGCAAAGGCAGAGACAGAAATCACTCGCTCGTCGACCAGACTTCCTATGCGAAGTTCCACCTTTGGTGCCCAGCAGCAGTCGACCACTGACACGACGACGGAGACGACAGTCGCAAACCCAAAGTTCCACGCCATCATCAACTACGAGGACCCGTACGTCCAACCGCTCATCCTCGAGGCCATGGAACGCCTCTTCCCTGGAGCATACTCTCTCCTCCCCGCGCCGCGGGAAACCGCCAACGAAGACGCCGGAAACGCCGCGAAACTCGCCGTCAGCCTCCCCTCGCCCGACACGAAGATCCTGCACATCGCGCCCTACGAGTCCCTCGACTTCGACCACGTCGCCGCGCACCCGACCACGTCCCTCGTAAACAGCTACGTCATCCGCAAAGCCTTGATTCGAAAACACTACCTGTCGTCGACGGTGGACCACTGGATCGCCAAGCACCCTTCCTCGTCGCTCAAGACGCACGTCAAGCGCGGGGAGCACTTTGAGGTGGACTACGCCGAGTTCCTCGACGACGCGCTCGTCGAGGCGTTTGATCTGCGGGAGAGCATGGACAAGAACGAAGGGATCGAAGAGGAGAGCGAAAAGGAGTGGTGGATTCTGAAGCCGGGGATGAGTGATCGCGGGCAGGGGATTCGGCTGTTTAGTTCGATGGAGGAGTTGCAGGGTATTTTTGACGAGTGGGAGGAGGAGAGGCCTGACAGCGACGACGAAGACGGAGAAGAGGGAGCTGCTACCGCCGCCGGTGACCGCGAAGGAGGAGGGGACTACATCACGACCTCGCACCTCCGCCACTTCGTCGCCCAGCCGTACATCCACCCGCCTCTCCTCCTGCCCTCCGACGCCCGCAAGTTCCACATCCGCACGTACGTCCTCTGCGTCGGGAGCCTCGACGTCTACGTCTACAAGCCGATGCTGGCGCTCTTCGCGGGCAAGACCTACCGCGCGCCATGGGAGGACGCGGACCTGGACGGCCACCTGACCAATACCTGCCTACAGGGAGGAGGCGAATCTGCCTTGCCGCCCGTGAAGCAGTTCTGGGATCTCGTTTCGTCTTCTTCTTCTTCCGGTCTCCCCGCCGCCGCGGCGGACCGCATCTTTGAGCGGATATGCGACGTCACGGGCGACGTCTTTGAAGCCGCGGCGCGGGAGATGACGATCCATTTCCAGCCTCTGGGTAACGCGTTTGAGGTGTTTGGCCTGGATTTCCTCGTCGACGAGGAGGCCAGGCCTTGGCTGCTCGAGGTGAATTCCTTCCCGGATTTCAAGCAGACGGGCGGGGACCTCAAGGGCGTGGTCGCCGGGTTCTGGGAGGAGACGTTGAGGAAGGCCGTTGGTGGGTTCTTTGGTGTTGAGCCCGTCGGTGGTGGTGGTGGTGCTACAGATGGAGACATGGTTCATGTTAGACGGGTTGATTTGGGCAGACGGTAAGGCGTTTTCCCCCCTTCTGTTGAACCCTTCGGCTTCCCTTTCTTGGGGCTGGTAGGTTGAGACCGGGGCGCCGGCAGTTACGGATGGCAGTTTGGAAACAAAAGGCAAGGCAGACACACAAAAAAGTAGAGAGTATCGACATTTAGGTACAATGCGCGCATATTCAAATCTAGAAACACCAAGAAAAATATCAAACCTAAATATTCACCATAATGCTATATCATCAGAAACCTTACTAGACTATCACGCAATTTCTTGGCAGGCAGATAAAGCACTTCCCCCCTTCCTCCTTTTTTTTTTTCTTTTTTTTAAAAAAAAAGGCCGAAGGGAAAAAAACCTTGGGCATCATTTTCCAAAATTCATAACCTTGGCTGTCGTTGAGATAATCATCACGCCAATTCCCCGTGATGTCGCAAATTGCCAAGACGTAACGATCTGCCTCTAACGCCTTGCCAATGCTGTATGGCATGCCAAGTCTTGCGGGAACTAAGGAAAGGATATCGACTTGGCTTTTTTTTTAAGAAAAATCTAAAAAAAAAAAAAAAAATCTCCTTGAACTCTAGAGTCCCTTGGGGATGGAGGCATTGCTGCATGCAAGCACAGTATCTAAACGTTTGCCAAGCGTTGCCAAGAAGGGGTAGCGCAAAGTACACACGCACAACCGAACCATGTTCTTTTTCATGTTCTCTCTTTTTCAAAAAGAGCAGTGCTCGGTTGTTGTGTCATTGAATGTTCAATATTACTTGAGCCAAAGAAAGGTTTGGATGAGATTAAACTTGTTCAGATGTCATGTGCTCGTTCAAGAGAGCTATTGTAAGTTGTTTTTTGCAGCCGGAGATTTCGGACAGTGAGCTGACCGCCTTTCGCTTGCGGCCCCGCAAGCCCGTTGGTGGCGGGAAGGCAAACTGACGCCACGCCCTCTCACACTGTTACACACACATACACACACGACAATCCGCAAATCCCGGACAATAGTATCGCGCGGCGGGCGCTGCGAGAACGAGAAAGTCTGGGAAGATTGTCTCGACGGGTTTGTTTCGGTGACACCAGGTCGAATCTCCTCACCACGGGTCGTCAGACATTGGGGGTTACTACACACCACCACGTGGTTGGCTGCAGTGAAACATGTTGTGCCGGCGAGCACAGCCTCAATGACTGGCTTGGTATATACCTACCGAACCGGGTTGCCTCTTCGACTGGGTGTCACAAGAGTGGCCTAGCTGAGGCCTGTTGCTTAAAGCGCGTATTCGATATGAACAAAGTGTCGATGAACACGATGTCTTTTTCAGCTGCAGAGGCCGCCGATTGAATCGAAAACCCGAGGTTTAGGAGAGAGCCTACGGGGTCATGAGGGAGCCTCAAGTTGCCTTCCGTGAGGGTTGAGTGTCAGATCGCCACCCGCAGGCTGACCCGATGTTTCTCCTTCCCTCGTTTGAATGATTGGGTATCAAGGAATTCTCTGGGTTGCAGTGATTGCCGAGAAAGTTTCGCTCCCACGCTCCGAAGCTGCTCAGCCTCATTCAATCGACGTCTGTTGATGACGGCGCGCAAGCCGGTTGGTCATGCAGAGATCAACTACTAGATGATACCTTGCCGCTGTGAGATATAGCGGAGAACGTATTTCAGTCTAGTCCGGCAGGCGGGCGGTAGGTAGCAAAATGGAGGGGGCAAGGTGGACTCTCGAGCGTCGTCTTTTTGGCCGCTCACTCATCGGCAGCTGTGGTTGTGGTTGGGGTTGTGTTGAGTTTGGGAAAGTCTAGACCTGAATCTAGAATCTAGAAGGGGTGAAGGTCGAGTTGAATATCACGAGTTGCGAGTCTGAGAGGGGGAACCGAGCGGGTTGAGAGTCGGTTAGCTGGGGTCCGATGTCGTTGACGAAACTTGACAGCTTGGAAGGCCACCTCCGGCTCAGCTGGAAGTCAACTACCGCAGTGGACTGGAAAGGTAGTTTGAAGTCTTTTGGGACTCTGTTTAGCTGGCGAGTCAAGCGCAAACTGGCTCTTCGGATGAGAAACGATAAGGTTTGTGTCTTCTGTAGTTGACTACTTCTTTTTTGAGTTGTTAGCTGATTGGGCCGAATTCAAATGTGTGATTATACCACCGACAGCTTCGTGTGATGCGGGGCAAGATGCGGAGGTGAAGAGGCCTCGGGTCGGATGGTGGACGGTGTTAGACGGCATTGGCTGATGGTTGGATGTTGATGTTTCGTCGGCTCTCGGATGTTGGGGAGACAAGCAACCGGAGCAAAGATGTGGTACTCCCAGGTTGACCACGGATTGATGCTGGCCGTGACCGCGGATTCGTCGGCTGAATGGGAATTCTGCCTTTTCAGGCGTCGAGGCTACCGAATCCAGAGCGGCTAGTTTCTTTGGAATCGGACTGCGGTCAGGCATCCAGAGGCTGTAGTCAAAAGTTGTGAGATGAATGGGTTTGTCTTTGTTAGGCCTTCACCAGAGCTGGGTTGCCGCGGCAGGACACACACAGACGTGCACTAGGTAAAACGAAGGTGGCAGGCATTTTTGTGGACACTATTGCACATCTAGGCGTTCAAGCATTCCACAGGTCAAGATGGGTTCCTCGAGGGTTAGGGCCGGGAGATCAAGTACCGGAATGATGATGACAATGCAGAGAAGAAAGCCCTGCTAAGCGAATCGACTCACTTTGTGTCAAGAGACCGGGCATCTAGGGCGCCCAGAGCGGTAACCGAGAACGGGCACGAATCCAAAGTATAGCATGACATGGCATGGCATCGTGTGTGCCCGTGGTCAACAAGGCAAGGCCGACCGACCATGGAGAAACGGTAGGTTTCTGACATTGGCGGGAAGCTGGGATGTGGAGTTCCAGAAAAGGACTCAAAGACTCAGAGACTCCAAAGTCTGGACCTTCGTGGCGCCGTCTCCTTCACCCACGTCCCACGGGTGGCCCATGCCCGTCCGATTCGGCCAGGGCCCCGATGCCTCTCATGTCGGTAACGGAATTAAGTAGTGGGCACCCGCCATTCCGGTGCGAGGGGAGCACGGGATGGTATTTGGTATTCGAGGCAGAGCCAACGTGTCCAGGGCGCCAAAACAAACAAGCGGAGCAGGCCAAGATTGCGCTGGAGAACCCAACTGCAACTCTGAACTCTTGCGCCTCTGCAAAATAGGAGAAACGTCCCATCCGGCATGAATCAGAGAACCTGCCGTCTTATTGTTCATCTTTGAACAGACGCGGCCACTGTCGTAATTTGGCGACTTTGGTCTTGGCATCATCTTGCCTATGGATGCCAAGCGGTTCGGTTCGCCTGTTGTCACTCATTGACAAAGACAGCTGCTAAAGGGATTCGGGAATGCGATGAAAATTGTGGGTGGTCGTCAATCCAGCTGTTGCTTGCTTCTGACTGCTCTGGCCCGGGTCCATACTCCGTAATACGTTTCTTCCACTGTAGAATTATGGCCGAGAAATTGGACCCAAATGCTTCGAAGGCAAGTTTGAACTGTAAAAGGTTTCGCTCGCCTAGCACTTGATGCTTTCCACCCACTTCCCGGACTTGTGCCTCCGGAGTTCGCCTGTAGTATGCACAGCTCTCAATGATGATTGAGACATACCCTGATGATGATGATGCTACTACTCCTGGCTCCTGCGGGTTTGAGAGGAATTGCTGTGTTGAAGAAGAAGCTCCAAGTAAGACCGTTCATGTAAGACGTCAGATGTGCGCGATCAACTTGGAGTAAGCCACACCATCCTTCTCGAATCTGAGGAGGGGCGTTCCATCTAACGTGAGAGCTACGACTAGGAATCGAGTCGCTCGTCATTGTGCATGATCGTCGAGTAGGAGCCTGGCTGCGGTGCCTCTTTTGGTCTTGTGCGGCGATTGTGGTGTGGCCGCCGTGCCGCCCGTCAAGACAGACCGAGAAGAGGAGTGGAAAAAAGAAGAAGCTGTTGCGCAAATATCCGTACAATCAATGCAACTTTACACCTTGAGAAAAATTCGTGGAATTTCAAACCATGGAGTTTAGTTAAGGCGAGCATCGGCGCACATCTCGTGCAAACCCTGACCTTGTCCAACCTTGAGATAAGGTAAGGGACAAGCCATGCAGGGAGTCTATATATAAACTAATAATAACCCCCCCTAGTTAAGGTAAGAGTCCCGTATATAATAGTAAGTACTTAGATATTAGTAGATCCTAGCTAAATTTAACTAATCGAACTTCGTTTTTTTTTTTTTAAAGTACTCGGGTTAGAAATATTTTAAAAATAAATTATAACTAATTAGGGTACTACTACTTAATTAATAAGAAATAATTCCGACTTATACTTTTTTTTTACCCTAACTAAGTTATATCCCTTTTTTTAAACTTCTACTTTTTATTATAACTTTTATTATAAATTTTTATTATAAAACTTACTATTATATTCGAAATTTATTAATAATTAATTAAAAATATTTTTAAATTAATTTTATAATACTTTTTTATTACTACGATAGTAATAGCTTTAAGTTTTATATTAATAATAAAAGGGGCTAGCCTTAGAATCTCTTTATATTTAAAACCGATAATATAAGTTTTATTCTTATTATTATAATTAAATATACAATTTATTTATTTATTTTTATAATAATAAGGTCGAATAATCTTATTATTAAGAGAACTCTATTATTATTATTTAGAAGTTAATAACTTTTATTTTAATAGTTATTATTAGTTATTTCTTAGTATACTTAAAAAGTACTTTAAAAAGAGTTATTATATTAATTCTGTAATTTTTTATAAGGGATCCTTCTTAATTATTATTAACCTCGAAGTTATTTATAAATTACTTTTTATTTTATATTAATATTTTTAGCTTTATTAATAGTCTTTTATAAAATACTATATTAAAATAATATTATTTATAAAAGGCTAAGATATATCCCTAAATACTTTTTAAAAACTTAAGGCTATTATAAATAATAAGACGTTATTTACTATCCTTTTTAAAAAGGATAGTATTATAAATAAAAATATTTTTAAAATATTTCTAGTTTATAAAACTAACTATTTTTAATAAGACGTTATTTAAATAAAAATAAATATTAAGCTCGGCCTTAAGGAGAGCTATAAGGTTTATAAATTATAAAATATTATTAATTATAATAAATATAACTTATTCCTTAATTAACGCTCTTCTTAACTAAATTTTATAACTTACTCTCTTTTTAATAAGTACGAGCTAACTTACTTAGTATTTTATAAATACTATTACCCTAAGCTCGTATTAAACGAGGATATTTTTAGTAAGTTACTTTATTAATACTTATATATTATTATATTTAATATTAATTATTTTTAGAAATTTTTAAAACCCTTAAGTAAATAAGCTAAAATAATAAAATAGTTAAGAATAAGCTAGTCTAGCCTACCCTTACTAATAATTTTAATAATAATAAGACGGATTTTTAAATAAACCCTACTATTTTTATTTAAATCTTTATTAAAAATATAAATAAATAAAAAGTATAATTAAGGGTTAAGGGATAATAAGAAATAATTAATCTAGAGAAGTTTATAAGTAAAGAGTTTATTAAAATAGAAGTATTTTACTTACTTTTTTAAAATAGTATTATATAAATTAAAAATACTATAATATTATAAATAAATATTCGTAATAAATATATAAATAAAAATAAAAACTATAAATACTAAGTAAATAATATATTACTTATAAATATTTCTTAAAAATTTCCTAAAAATTTCTTAAAAATTTCTTAAAAGTTTCTTAAGAATTTCTTAAAAATTTCTTAAAAATTTCCTAAATATTTCCTAAAAATTTCCTAAAGATTTCCTTAATATATATTAAATATTTTTTAAATATTTTTTTAATATGTTTTAAATATTTCCTTACTATATCTTAAATATTTCTTAAATATTTCTATTTTTCTAATTTCTATAATATTTATAAATATAAATTAATTAATAAAAAAGAAAAATAATAAATTATTAACTTATTTTAATATATTATAAGCTTATTATATAATTATATATTTAATATAATTTACTATTTATAATTATAATATTAATATTTTATAATAATATATACTCTTATTATTATAATAAATAATATAAATAAGACTATATATATATATAAATATATTATTATTATTAATATTATTATTATTATTATTATTTTATATAATAATAATAATAATAATAATAATAATAATAATAATAATAATAATAAGAATTAATATACGGGTATTACTTTTATATAAGCGTTACTATTTTACTTTTTAATTAGTTTAAAAAAATAGTACCTCCT